TCATGCTGCTGCTGAAGAGAAGAATGTCGTCCACATAGACCAGAAACAGCACCAGCTTCTCCCCCTCGCCCTTGAGAAAAAGGCTCTCATCACAGCTGCTGGTCCTGAATCCCATCTCCTCTAAAACAGCTGCCAACTTCTGGTACCAGCAGCGTGGCGCCTGCTTCAAGCTGTAGATGGACTTGTTGAGCTTGCACACCCTGCCCGTACCATCCTCATACCCAGGCGGCTGCGTCATGTACACATCCTCCTCTAAAATCCCATTCAGGAATGCCGTTGAAATATCCATCTGAATGATGAATTTCCCACTAACAGCTGCATCTGCCAACAAGACACGGAGGGTAGGGGGTTTGGCAGTGGGAGCAAAGATCTCGTTGAAGTCCTGCTTCTCCTTCTGCATAAACCCCTTCGCCACCAGCCTACTCTTGTAGATGGTGACCTGCCCCTTGTCATCGGTCTTGATCCTCAGCACCCACTTGCATTGTATCGCTTTCTTCCCATCAGGCAGCACCACCAGATCCCATGTCCTATTCTCCAGCAGACTCTGGTACTCAGCATCCCTAGAAGCCAGCCACTTGTCCCTATCTGGTCCAGCTAATGCCTCCTCCATGCTAGCTGGTTCCTCTGGTGCTGGGGCAAGAAAACAGTACGCAGGCTCATCCTCCTCATCCGGGTCATAGCCATGAGGTAGAATCAGCAATGCCTCTTCGGTCCCTAGCTGCTGCTCTGCTGCATCAGTTCCTGCAGTCAGCTTCTTAGTAGCCATACGGGTACGTCCTGGCCTGGAGACGGGTGTCTCCCATCCCTTCATAACGACACCCTTCAGCTTCTTAGTTTTTCCCTGCTGCTTCTCTCCTCCCTCGGGTCCAGCAGCTCCACTAGTGCTGCCGCCAGTTTCCACACCATTTTCTCCACCAGCAGATGCCTCCTGTACCTTCTCTCCATCACCATTTCCAGCAGCTGCCTCCTCTCCCTCCTCCCACACACTAGGAGTCAGGTCCAGCTGCATGGTGATCTGCTCCATCTGCTGGGACACCCTTGCCTCCGGCTGTTTCTCCCAGCTCCCATACATCATGCCCTCAATGAATTTCACATCCCTGCTGTCAAACAACACACCCTTGGATGGTTCCCACAGCAGCCATCCCTTGCTCTCAGCAGCCAGCCCCAAATGCACACACCAGATTGCACTCGCCCCCAACTTACTGCGGTAGGTCTTGGGGACGTGGGCGACTGCCATGCAACCGAACACCCTCAGCATGTCCACCGGCGGCTTCCTCCCAAGCCACCTCTCCAAAGGCACCCACGAGTCATCCCCAACCTTGGTGAGCACCCTGTTCCTAGCGACGGTGGCGTGCCGGACAGCATGAGGCCACATAGAGTTGCTCAGCCCAGATTCTATGAGCAGCGCCCTAGCTGTCTCCAGAATGGTCCGGTTTGCCCATTCTGCTACACCATTGGACTGTGGGGTATAAGCCGTGGTCAGCTCTCTCTGGATGCCCTGCTTCTTGAGCCAGGCCGTCATTTCAGCTCCAAGGAACTCACCACCCCGGTCTGTCCTAATCCGCTTCACTACACACTCCGCCTGCTTCTCCACGAATGGCAGCCAATCGTCCCGTATCGTGGAGGCGGCGTGGTCCTTCTGCTTCAGCGGATACGCCCACATCAGTCTGCTCCAGTCATCCACAATTGTAAGAAAATACCGCTCCCCCTTGTGCCCTTGCACCGGCAGCGGCCCCACCAAGTCCATGTGGACCAGCTCCAAAGGCTTCTTGCTCCTGCCAGCCACACTATGGAAAGGGAAACGGGTGAACTTTGAAAGCAAACAGATTTCACAGTTGTCATCGGGTGGCTGTCCGTTCAGCTTTAGACCCTTAACGGCTCCATCCTTCTCCAGCTGCTTCAGCAAAGGCATTGCCACATGCCCTAAGCGTCGGTGTGCCGTTGCCCAATCTGTCTCCCCAGATCTGGCCGACACTTTCACACCAACCCCTCCAACGGCATTGCACTCCCCCTGGGATGCAGACCCCTCTCCAGCCTGCCCCCCACCATGCCACGCCAGGGCCGGCAGCTGCCACATAGATCTGTACACGTCCTTGCTCTCGTGCAGATCCCAAAGCACCCGATTGCCCAGCTTCCCCTTATAAGTGCGTGCCCCATCCGTGTTGGTGTTCACCCCAGCCTTGCCAAGCTTACGGAGGGAGATAAGGTTGGCCTTCAGGTCGGGGACGAAGAGAACGTCGTGCAGCACCACCGGCTTGCCATCCGCTCCCTTAAACGCAGCTCGTCCCGCACCAGCCACCTTCAACATGTGTCCAGAGGCGGAGCACACTTCATTGATCGGTGCAGCTCGTACTTCGTCCAGCAGGTCCTTGCGCGGCGTCATCGTCCAAGCAGCGCCTGTGTCCAACACCCAATAGTCCAGGGGGTGCAGCTCTGCTCCAACTTTGGCAGAGGCGTCTCCTTGCTCCCCCTTGTCTCCCACATGGAAGAACTGGCCTGCGGTGCGCTCCTTCTTCTTCTCCGCACCACCGTTGCTCTTCGGGGTGTTGTCGGACGAATCAGCGACCATGTTCGCGCCGTTTTTCTGGTTCCTTCGCGCGCCACCATCCTGTTGACGATTCTGGGGGGTCCATCCATCGGGTTTCTTATAGCACAAAAACCAGGGGTGCCCTTCCTTCTCACAATACCAGCAACTCCCTTTCATTTTGCCACCAGCACCCGACTTGCCCCCACGTCCAGATTTCGCACCGCGACCCCAACCGGTACCTCCTTGTTGGTCGTTGGAGTCGTCGTCCTTCTTTGCACCGCGTCCAGCACCACCGAAGCCACGTCCTCTGCCACGTCGGCTCCCTTGCATCCCGTAGCCGCTGCTGCCGTCGTCTCCACCCCTCAGTTGGCGGCGACGGAAGTCCTCCTCCAGAATCTTCGTCCGCACCCACTCCAGCGTCCACAAGCTCTGGTTCTGCGGCAGGCTCAATCCGCTCGTGAATTGAAGCCACGATTCAGGCAGCAGCGAGAGCATCTTCAAGCACTTGGTCTGCTCCGGGTAGGTGATTCCCGCGGTCGCCAACTTCGCGTAGAGGTCGCGCATCTTGTCCAAGACTGGTTGCACCGGCTCTCCCTCGCTCAGGCGCAACGCGGACAGCTCCCTCTCCAGCATCAACGTTGCGACAACGGAGGTCGGGGCGTGCAGCTCCTTCAACACGGTCCACGCCTTCGGACCGCATTCAACCTCCGGCAGCAGGTGCATGACGTGGTGACGCTGGTTCAGCTCCAAACTCTGCGACATCAGATAGTAGCCAGCCGAGGAGCGCTCGTCCCAATCTTCCTGCAGCGTGGGGTCACTCGGTCTAGGCTCCTCCCCAATCATTAGTTTCAGCAAACCGATCTGACGGAAATATAATTGCATTTTCCAGGCCCAATCATCATAGCCCTCACCATTGAACTTCTCGACGGTGAAATTCTTCAGCACCTCCTTGACAAGCGAGCCCTGGTTTGTTCGCGCTCCCCTTGGCGCTGAAAGACCAGAATCTTGGCTGCCGCTACGATCTTGGGCTGAAGATTCACCAGCTCCTGCCGAGGTGTTGCCCGCCATAGCTACCTATAACGAGGATCACTATAACGCAGCTCTGATACCAGCTTGTTGGTGTAAGGGCCTAATAAACTCAAGCTATTAGGACTTAATCAAACTTAAAACCTCTCCTCGGGGTCACCTCCAAGGGTCCCTGGGTGCCTGGTACAAGACCAGCCCCTATCCTCGGGTCCGAGTTTGTAGAGAGAGGGATCAAGAAGGACTTAGTCAAAACAGCAAGAGTACCTTGAACGTCGCGCAGCGTGCCGTGCAGACCGTCGGTCAGATTAAGCTGAGAATTCGCTATATCGAAGCTCGCTCCAAGAGCTTTAAAATGAGCCAAGTTGCCTCGCGAAAAGTTCTGCCATTACTAAGTTATGGCTCGGATAGCGTTTGCCTAGCGTTGGAGTGCTAGCATACTAGCGTTGACTCGGGTAGCATTCCGCCGTCGAATAGCGCAGAAACGAAATTCCAGCGAGGAAGGAATTCGCTTGAATCAATTTGACTATGCTCAGGTACAAACAGAGAAGGATTAAATAGTTCTAGCTAGCAAGGACCTTGGGAATCAACCTGGGAACAACTAGGGATGATCCCAAATAATTCCAAGCAACAGAACCAACCTGGCTGGACAAAATAGCAGGTGGTAGGTTGGTAAACAACCTCTGGTTCTGTTTTTCCAACCTGGGAAAACAACAACCAGGTTCAGGTTCTAAAAACAGAACCTGTTTTGTCTTTGCCCAACCAGCCAAATGCTGGTTCCGCTGGTTTCCTCTGGCCTTGTAGCATGCAGATACAGACAAACAACATCCAACCTTCACCTAAATTGTACCCCTAAACAAAACAGTACAATTCCGAGTTGGATAGAACTGAATCTGCGCAATCAACTCAACCGAACTGCAAAGCTTCCATCTTGGGTTCCTTTGCGAGCTCATCCTTTCTGCTTGCACTGTTCATAGCGCGTACAATGTTGTGCCGAAGCGCACATTGCGCGAGTACCTGCAAATGCATCAAGCGAAAAATGCGAAAGCAAACAAACACACGAACACACCATTCACACGCAAATGCATTCGCACACGCATACTCGTACAAACAGACGGCAGGATGTCGTGCAATGTGCATTTGCACCCAACAACTGTCCCTTGATCGCATCATCTCATCGCACTTTTACTCCATCATCCCATCACACTATTGGCCCATCATCCAATCCCATCACACTATTACCCCATCACACTATTACTTCATCATCCCATCACCCCATTGTCCCAGAAGCCCATCCCCTCTACTTTTTTACCCCACTGAGGTATGACCGCACATCATCGCCACGTCAGCCTAGTGCCAGTGGTCTAGTGGTAGACCACCTACGAAGGTGCATGACGCAATCAAGCGCGAAGTTCATCGCATTGCCTTGGAGCTTGGGTTCTCTGCGCAAATGGAAGACCAACACAGGCCTGGCCGCCGAACAGACGTCACGTGCCGCGACATCAGCTCTGGTACCACCTGGGCCTTGGATGTTTCTGTAGCCGATCCTCAAAAGGGGTTTCCGCACTCCAACGCAGCTACGGTAATCGGTTCAGCAGCAGCCACTCGTGAAAGTGAGAAGACTACCAACTATGCTGCAGCACTTCGTGACCGCCCAGACGTCAAACTGTTTCCTCTTGTCATCGAAACCTTTGGTTGCTTTGGCACTTCCTTCAACATCTTCCTTCGCCAATGCAGCCGTAGGGGGGCTTCACAAGTTCGCGACTTGAGTGGTGCCACAGATTCTCTTCCCTATCATAAGTTGCTGCCAAGGACTCAATGGGGGATCAATCTTGGTACCTGCCCAGTGAGCAAGGGGTGGGTGATCAAGGATGTGGTTTCGGGGAAGGTCACAATCACCCGGGATGTTATTTTCTACGAGGAGGTGAGCTACCTGCAGTGGAAGGGGGTAGAGAAAGAGATTGCAGCAGCAGGGACAGCAACTACATCGGACAAGGTAGAGGATCTCTTGGAAGAAAAGGAGAGTGAGGGAGTTGGTGATGAAAAGGATGAGGAGATCGAAGATGTGGAACGGGCAGATTCAGTTGATTGGGTGTGGGAGAAGGCACCAGCCAGGGAAGCGGATGAAAACAAGGGAGTGGAGATAGCAGGGGAGCAGCCAAGCAAGGAAGTAGCTGAGGGTGTCAACGATGAAGTGGCTAGAGAAGAGAGAGATGAAGAATCAGCAGCTGAAGGAAGTAGCGATCCCTGGAAGTTCCTGAATAGTGGTGACAACCAGGCAGCAGAGAAGGAGATAGAGGACTTACTTGAGGAGGGCGCCATCGTGATTGGAAGGGAAGTAAAGGATGGAGAAGGGAAAGCATTGACGGATTCCAGTGAGGAAGAGGTCGAATCATCTGCAGAGGAGTTGGGGAAAGGAAAGAGGGTGAAGAAACCAAACCCTCGGTATGCGCAACTGCTGATGACGTGCTGGAAGGACATCCATACCCATCTCCTACTCTCTGCCAGCTGTGCCTTTGGTGTTTCAGTGTTGTGCCTCTGTGTTCAAGGGCCGTTGTGTGCTACCTCTAGCATGTGGCGCTAGATCCTGTAGTCACACTCTCATTTCTCACACATCGTTATGCTTTCCTTGCCCCATACCTCCTAATAAAATACTGTTTCTCACCACCATCCCTCATTTCACATCCCCTCTACCCCTCTTCCCCCCCCCCCCCCCCTTCCACCTCTCCCCTCACCCAGATGCACAACAATAATGTATCCATAATGTATCCGGTCTCATGCACGCGCGTTGACATGGCATACGCAGCTAGCTACCTTGGGCAACAAGTGCAGCAACAAGGGGAGAGAAAATGGAGAGAGATGAGGAGGACTATCGACTACCTACTGCAACATGAAGATGAGGGGCTGTTATTCGAAGGAGGTGAAGAGACCTTGGAGTTAGTGGGGTATGCGGATGCTTCACACGCATCCGACAGGCAAACAAGGAAGGGAGCATACGGTTACGTGTTTCTGCTCGGCGGGACAGCAATCATGTGGCAAGCGAAAAAGTTGAGTGACATAGCGCTCTCTAGTGCGGAAGCGGAGTACATGGCTCTGTTTTACGCATGCCAAGAGGGGGTTTGGCTGAGACGGCTACTCAAGGAGATGGAAATCAAGGTGAAAGGGCCGACGGTGATACGCACGGATAGCAAATCTGCCATCGACTTGGCTCACAACGACAATTGGCACGGGAGGACCAAGCATATGGATGTGAAGTATCATTGGGTGCGTTCAAAGGTGAGTAGCAAGGAGTTCAAGTTTGAATTCGTACGTACGGAGGCACAAGCAGCAGATTTTCTGACTAAGGTGTTACCAAGGGCAAATTTTGAGCGTTGCAAGAGAGAGGTTGGGATGCGTACCTTGGCTGAATTGCAGGGGAGTGTGGAGCAGGCCTAGAGATGGTTCAAGGTAAAACGTGCGTGGGAGAATGCATAGGCTGGTGGTTAGCAAACCACAGGGGAGATTGTTGAAGGTGGTTAGCTAACCACGACCTAGAACGACCTAACGCGATCTACATCGACCTAAGAAGAATCCGGCTTGACGAGATGAGACTAAGGGAAAGCGAAGACCTAAGAAGAAGATGAGCTACCTATGTTGGGGCGGTGGAAGGAGAAACAAGGCAGAGACTAGACCTGCGATGGGAAATGAAGAGAAGGAGAGGAAGCGTGCTGAAATGGAGAAGAACACAGCTGAAATGTCGAGATATCAAGTGACGTGATGAGAAGTCACGCCGGGTCAAAGGCGCGTCCAAGGAAGTCTGAAATTCGAACTCGAGGCGCGTTCGGTGCATGGTTGGATTTGGGAATTGAGCCGAGTACAACTCAGCTCGATATTAGGCGCGGCGCGAGGGCGAAATCAGAAATCCTTTTGCTTATAACTTGCTTTGTGTTTTCTGTTTTTGTATGCCTTCTTCAATGAAATTACTTGAACTTTCTGCCTTGGCGTTTTTTCCAGCAAATTCCTTCACATAGTTGAAGCCAGAGCTTCTTATGCATACTACTAAGACTCTAAATAGTCTTCATAGTCTAGACTAAAGGCTGCGCACGTACAAGACTCAGATGCCTGCAAGATTCAGCGCTGTGGTCCGAACGGCCGCTGCGACACGGACAATGGAGTGGCGTCCTGTGTGTGTGACTCTGGTTTCGTGCTGCAGGCGGATGGCAGGACGTGCATTGGTAGGTGCAGGCTGCTGTGTGCTTGATGTTCTAGCTCGACCGACCCTCTACCCTGTGGCGGTCGGTACTTCATGTTGTCATAGACCTTTCCCACACCTCCTTTTGGGTGCCCGAATGTCATGTCGGATGCCTTACAATATCATCTTAAATGCCCCCGCCCCCCCTGCGCGAATTTTGCTTCCCACTAGCCCTCACTTCACGTCCCCTCCCCTCTCTCCATCCCCTCTCTCCATCCCCTCTCTCCATCCCCTCTCTCCATCCCCTCTCTCCATCCCCTCTCGCCATCCCCTCTTCACTCAACCAGATGCCTGCAGGATTCAGCAGTGTGGTGAGAACAGTCGCTGCAAAAAGGACGGTGGGGTGGCGTCCTGTGTGTGTGTTGCTGGTTACGTGCTGCAGGCCGATGGCAGGACGTGCGTTGGTAGGTCCTGAGTGTTGTGCCTCTGTGTGCTTAGCGATCTAAGTGGTGCTGTGTGCTTAGCGATCTAGCTCGTCCTACTGTGTACTGCCTAGCTCTTGCGCCTTCTTTTACATAACTTTTGTACATTTTGATTTGCTTCCATCCTTGCCCCACGCGTGCAGAAAGGGTCTTGGTTCCCACCTATTCTTAATTCACGACCCCTCCACCCGTCTTCTCCCTTCTCCACCTCTCCCCCCACCCAGACGCTTGCGAGGTTCAGAACTGTGGTGCGAACAGCCGTTGTGTCAAGGACGGTGGAGTGGCCTCTTGTGTGTGTCACTCTGGTTTCGTGCTGCAGTCTGATAACAGAACGTGCATTAGTAAGTGCTGAGTGTTGTGCCTCTGTAATCAGGGCTGCTGCGTGTTGCCTCTAGCATGTGGCAGTAGATCCTGTCATTGCTGACTTCTCTCTCACATCTTCTCTCATATCTCATTCAAACAATCCGTTTCTTGTTCAATCCCACCCCGCCCTCCTGATGAAATCTTCATTCCCCTCCTTCCCTCATTTCTCGTCCCTCCACCCCTCGCCTCTATTCTCCTCCACCTCCCCCCCCCCCCCCCCCCCCCCCCCCCTCACCCAGATGCCTGCAAGATTCTAAGCTGTGGTGAGAATGGCCGCTGTGTCAAGGAAGGTGGAGGGGCGTCTTGCGTGTGTGACCCTGGATTCGTGCTGCACGCAGATGGCAGGACGTGCATTGGTACGTGCTCGAGGTCATTGGTACATTATCTTGACCTGCCGTTTCTTTCCCCCTAGAATGTGGCAGTGCATTCCCGTCATGGCAGGGTTTCTTCACTCTTCCTTTCGCATACCTTTTGAAATCACGCCCCTGCATCTCCTCATAGAATCCTGATGTCCCCACCCCTCATTTCATGTCCCCTCTACTCCTCATCCCCTCTCCTCTGCCTCTCGCCCCCAGATCCCTGCATAGATCAGCGCTGTGGTCCGAACGGCCGCTGTGTCAAGGATGGTGTAGTGCCGTCCTGTGTGTGTGACTCTGGATTCGTGCTGCAGGCGGATGGCAGGACGTGCATTGGTACGTGCTGAGTGTTGTGCCTCTGTGTCCCAGGGCTGCTGTGTGCTTATCGATCTACCTCGTGCAGTTGTGTGATGCAGTGGCCTACAGTTGCTGTCCCTGCTTTGTTCTCTCACACTTATTTTTTCATCTTTTCTTTAACATTTGTTGCTGGATCCCCGCGGCCCCTTGTTTCATGTCCCCTCCACCAATCTCCTCGACCTCTCCTTCCACCAGATGCATGCAGGATTCGCAACTGTGGTGCGAACAGCCGTTGTGTCAAGGACGGTGGAGTGGCCTCTTGTGTGTGTCACTCTGGGTTTCTGCTGCAGTCTGATAACAGAACGTGCATTGGTAGGTGCTGAGTGTTGTGCCACTGTGTTCAAAGGCTGCTGTGTTCACCGGGTGCTCAAACCATCTACCTCATGCAACTGTGTGCGTTCACCTCCTCTCCACACCTCCCTTCCCCTCTCCTCCGCCTCTCTTCTCGGCCAGATGCTTGTTTTATTCAGCGCTGTGGTGCATACAGCCGCTGTGTGAAGGAAGGTGGAGTGGTGTCCTGTGTTTGCTACGATGGTTTCGTGCTGCAGCCAGATGGCAGGGCTTGCGCTCTCGACAAATCTGCTGGCGGTGGGTGATGCATGCGATGCAAGCTTGGAGGGTGTTTTCGTGCTACTGTGCTGCCTCCAGTGCAACTGCCACACTACTTTCACACGTTCCTACCATCACATTTCAACTTGTTGTCATCCCCCGTCTTATTTCCCACGAGACCCCATTTCACATCCCCTCACCCCTCCTCTCCTCTCCCCTCTCTTGCACTTCTTCCCCCAACCATACGCCTACAAAGATGTGATATGTGCTTAGAATAGACACTCACTGAGGAATCAGTGCTGATTGACTTCTTTTTTTTCATCTCTAACGCTAAACTGTAAGCCTCTCACTTTCTCTCTTGCTTGCTCACGACCTTATCAGTTCTTTTTCCATCCCATTCAACCTTTTACCTTCCAACAGACCAACCCCCCTCGGAACAGTGAGCGTCCTTGACACTTGTCAGAGGTTGTGCAAGCATGCACTGGGCATTAACAGACTGGACCGATGCTCTGGTCGGTCTGGCCCTTTGCTTGCTTGGCGTTGGCATTAGAGCACTGCTTCTGAATACAGATGTAGCCTTCATTTGTCCCTCCTTTGCTCTCTGGTTCCGTAAATTCCTCACCTTTGTACTATAATTCTGTGTGATTGGTTGAAGAGATTGTGTGAAACATGATAATGTGTGCCCGTCAGTTTGGTTATGAAACCTTTTCATCAGTTGATTGTTCCACTGAATGAGGTGTCAGTCAGGGATGTTGGGAATCACCGACGCAGCCCACAATGTATACAGCTTAAATGCTTACAGCTTACATGCTAGTACTGCCACGTGCACATATTATTCGGGCCTGTGGGTGGCTGGCCGCTGGTGGCTCCATGCCAGTCCTACCATGCAGCACAACCGTCCAGTCCCCCCCATGTGCAGCGAGATTTCCCAATCAGCACCAATTCCTAACCGCTCCTCGGTCCCAAGTGACGAGATATCATTGAGCGACGGGGGCAATTAGCCATTGCCTAAGGTGAGGATGATGCCAGAAGATACAGAGCACACTGCTGAAAAAACGCCGAGCTCCAGTAGAAATGCGGTGATGAGTGGTGATATTGGCCTTGTGCGGGCTGAATATGGCCTGTAGGGAATAACAGGTAGAAGGTAGAGTGTGGGGAGAAAGATGGGAGTGGAGGGGAGTGAAAGGAGAGGATAGTGAATGCACAAACAGGAATCTACCAATTTACTAGGGCAGCATTTGACAGAGGATTTTGGGAATGTGAGGGATCAAAATTTAGATGTGAGGGAATGTGCAAAATTTAGATCTACCAACCCTAAACCCTAAACACCTGCATCTCTACTCACATCCACTCAATTGACAATCCAATCCATCCACCACCTTCCCAGGGAGGGGGCCACGGGGGAGTGGAAACGAATGGGTGACCCGTGGGGGGTGCCATGCGCGGCATGATGCGCTGCCATGCACGGCACGCTGTAGCGTGCCGCCATGCTGTTCTGAAAGAGCTGGGAGTGGGGTGCGGTGTTGTGGCAGGGCGGATGATGGAGAAGAGGAGAACGAGGAGAGCTGCACGCCATAGAGCTGGGAGGAGGGGGAGAACAAGGGGGGAAAGAAGCACGAAACATGTGTGGAGAAGAAGAGTGACACGGGGGAAGAAGTGGGGAGGGTGGGGAGCGGGTTTAGAAGTGGGGGGGAAAAGGGAGGAGAATGAAGATTCCCAGGCTTTTGGTATGTAGCTTGTGTCTTGACGAAAGGATGATGGGGCAATGTGGCGATGGGATGATGGGGCAATGTGGCAACGGGATGATGGGGCAATGTGGCAACGGGATGATGGGGCAATGTGGCAACGGGATGATGGGGCAATGTGGCAACGGGATGATGGGGCAATGTGGCAACGGGATGATGGGGCAATGTGGCAACGGGATGATGGGGTAATGTGGCAACGGGATGATGGGGTAATGTGGCAACGGGATGATGGGGCAATGTGGCAACGGGATGATGGGGCAATGTGGCAAGGGGATGATGGGGTAATGTGACAACGGGATGATGGGGCAATGTGGCAACGGGATGATGGGGCAATGTGGCAACGGGATGATGGGGCAATGTGGCAACGGGATGATGGGGCAATGTGGCAACGGGATGATGGGGCAATGTGGCAACGGGATGATGGGGCAATGTGGCAACGGGATGATGGGGCAATGTGGCAACGGGATGATGGGGCAATGTGGCAACGGGATGATGGGGCAATGTGGCAAGGGGATGATGGGGTAATGTGACAACGGGATGATGGGGCAATGTGGCAACGGGATGATGGGGCAATGTGGCAACGGGATGATGGGGCAATGTGGCAACGGGATGATGGGGCAATGTGGCAACGGGATGATGGGGCAATGTGGCAACGGGATGATGGGGCAATGTGGCAACGGGATGATGGGGCAATGTGGCAACGGGATGATGGGGCAATGTGGCAACGGGATGATGGGGCAATGTGGCAACGGGATGATGGGGCAATGTGGCAACGGGATGATGGGGCAATGTGGCAACGGGATGATGGGGCAATGTGGCAACGGGATGATGGGGCAATGTGGCAACGGGATGATGGGGCAATGTGGCAACGGGATGATGGGGCAATGTGGCAACGGGATGATGGGGCAATGTGGCAACGGGATGATGGGGCAATGTGGCAACGGGATGATGGGGCAATGTGGCAAGGGGATGATGGGGTAATGTGACAACGGGATGATGGGGCAATGTGGCAACGGGATGATGGGGCAATGTGGCAACGGGATGATGGGGCAATGTGGCAACGGGATGATGGGGCAATGTGGCAACGGGATGATGGGGTAATGTGGCAACGGGATGATGGGGCAATGTGGCAACGGGATGATGGGGCAATGTGGCAACGGGATGATGGGGCAATGTGGCAACGGGATGATGGGGCAATGTGGCAACGGGATGATGGGGCAATGTGGCAACGGGATGATGGGGCAATGTGGCAACGGGATGATGGGGCAATGTGGCAACGGGATGATGGGGCAATGTGGCAACGGGATGATGGGGCAATGTGGCAACGGGATGATGGGGTAATGGGATGGGGTAAAGAGGTGACGGGGTAAAAGGATGGGGTAATGCGATCGGGTGAAGAGGTGACGGGGAAATGGGATGGTGGGGTGATGGGATAGTGGGGTATTGGGATTGTGGGTTGATGGGATAATGGTGTGGTGAGATCACGGGATTGTTTCCCTATTAAAAAGGTGGACACGAGAGACAGTGACAATGGTAGTGGTGGCGAGACAGGCGACAAATGAAAGCACAGATCTGATTCGGTACAAGGCACTACTGACCTCAGTGTGGTGATCGCTGATCGGTGTGTGTTTGTAGATGCAGCAGCGGGTGGATGCTACTGGCTGGACTATGCACACCTGGTGGGTGCATTGGGGGGAAGGGTGGCCAGAGAGAGAGAGAGCAGTGAAGTGTGTGCAGTGTGATGGAGCAGTGTGATGGAGCAGTGTGATGGACGCTGCTGGCTGCATTACGGACACCTGGAGTGGGGGGAATGGCAATGGGGATGGGGAAGGGGGCGTTGATGGGTAAGGAGATGGGGAAGGGGATGAGGGAAGGGGATGAGGAAAGGGATCGGAATGAAGACAGGGGTGGGGATGGGGAAGTGTAATGGGAAGGGGAAGGGGATGGCGGGACAATGATGGAGAGTGATGGTTGCACTATGCATACATGTGGGTGAGGTGGATGACAGAGAGAGGTTAGTGATGGGAGGAGGGTGAGCAGAAGGAGCGATGGTTCTAGCCTGATGGTCCCTGATAGTCTCGAATTGCCACCTGGATGTCTATCACTGCCACAATGCATTCAGCACTGCCACAATGCATTCAGCCTCAGGGCAGTCAACCTCTTGCCGATCAACCTCATCACAACTGACACCTGTGGGTGATCTCAGGTGAGAGAAACCCAAGAGTGACCTAGGAGTGACATGAGAGCGAGTGACCTGCTAATGACCCACTGGTGACCCATAAATAGCCCACGTTCCTCACACCACACCTTCTTCACGCAGCAATGACTCTTTACAGCCCACCTCCTTCCTGCTACTGACCCGCTACTGGCCCACTAGTGACCCACGATTATCCCACATTCCGTGCACCATCCACGCACCTTTTTCACGCAGCAATGAGCAGCAGCGGTGACCCATTGCAGCCCACATCCTTCCTCACACCACATACCCCCCTCGTCTGTAGGGAGCTACACTGCCAAGCGGCACCTTGCAGCCCCGCACCTCTCACGCACCTTCCCCCAAGTCAGCAGCCTGCAGGTTGCCCGTGAACAGCACAACCGCCCACACCGTAGGGGCAGAAGCGGATGTAGGAGAGGCGGGTGCGGAGCTGGGGAGGTGTGGTAAGGGAGAGGGGAGTGGGGAGAAAAAGTAGAGAGCACAGTGGTTTATGAGAGGGGTATGGAAGACAGTGCCGAGGGGGCACAGTGGTTTATGAGAGGGGGCACAAGTCCATACGATGGGGCAGAATCAGGCATAGGAGAAGCAGGTGCGGATCTGGAGGGCGGGGGACAGGAGGGGAAGTGAGCAGTTCGGTGCTTGTATCATTCTTGAGAATTCTCAAAAGAGTATGGAACGAAGTGTGGACCGAAGGAGCGGAACAGAGCTAGAAGGTGAGAGAAGCAGTGGGCCAGGCAGGAGTAAGGTAGGAGTAAGGTAGGAGTAAGGTAGGAGTAAGGTAGGAGTAAGGTAGGAGTAACAGGTGCGGAGCTGAGCTGGGGGGGGGGGGGGAGTGAGCAGGGAGGAAGTTGGGAGAGGGAGGGAGCAGGGAAGGAGGGAAGGGAGCAACGCCTTGGAGTGACTCAAACAGACATCATCCCCGCCCTACACCGACTTGTCATGAAGTACTTCTCAGCTTCTCTCACACTTCTCTGCACCCCCTCACTCCCATCTTTGTCCCCTCTTACTGTCCCATCCTTCTCCCATCCTCCCTTCCCTGGTACTTCCCTTCCCTGCTGCAGGTGTTCTGCCTTGATCCTTGTTCCTCCTGGTGTAGGTGATTAGCTTGCCCTCCCTTCCTCCGCGTCTGTCAACCTTTTTGCTTGTTTGAAACAAGCCTCACACCTCCCCTCAGGGCTCAGTCAGATTGCTTGTGCTCCTCAGTACTGCTTGTCTCCGGGGACTAGGGAAACGAAATTGCAGTAATAGAGAAACCAACAAGCAAAAAGCGAGAAACTCGAGCGCTAACCTTGCCTACATCCCCTCAGTCCTCCTAGGTTCCTTCTCCTACCCGCTAGCTTTAGTGCCTAAGCGCGAGTCAGCCGAGCTGATCGCGATAGCCCCCAGGGTGCTAGCTGGAACTCCCCTTCCCACTAGCCATGCACCGCCTTCCAGCCTGGCTCCTTCAGAATTGAATTCCTGGCTGGAATTGCATTCGCCCCCTTCCCATCAACCTCCTCGGCTTCCCCAGCAACTCGGTTCTGAAAAGATAGTACAGTACACTCCAGCAAGCAAACGAAAGTAAGAAAACAGAAACAAAATATGATATAACCTCACCTTAGCTGATGTGCTATTCACACTTTAGCCGCCGGCTAAAAGTTAATAGCGCGACAGACTGCTCACAGATTCTCACACGTATCAACTTCACCACCCCTCGAACCACTTCTCCCGCCTTTCCTTCACCCCCCCTTCCTTCACCCCCCCTTCCTCCCCCCCCCCCCCCCAAACTTCACCCCCCTTCTTTCAACCCCCTTCCTTCACCACCCCTTCTCCCCGCCTTTCTCCTACATGCGTCTCCACCCCTCAGGCCGTCTCATCATAGTGACTTCAAGCCTGTCAACTGCCCGCCAGCAGCCCCCTTTCACCACCCCTTCGCCCCCCCTTCCTGCCATCCTCCCCTTGCTCCCCGCCGCTGCCACTGCTGCCGCCAATGCCTCTCGCCCACCTCACGTCAGCAGCATCTGCCTGCCTAGTTGAACCAGAGCAGGAGAAGCAGGTGCGGTGCGGGACTGGTGGGAAGACGTAGAGGTGGGTTGGAGGAGGTGGGCAGGGGAGAGGAAGGGACAGTGCGTGGGTGAGAGCAGTGCGGCTCCACCATAAGGCAGCAAATCCGCAGGTCGGACGTAAGAATAGGAGCAGGGGGGGTGGCTGGAGAAGGTGGGGGAAGGGAGAGGGTATGGGGAGTGAGGGTAGCGCACTTGGTTGAGGGCAGAACGGTGTGACCGCAGTGGTGCAGACGTTGGCGTGGGAGACGCAGGTCAAGGGGGAAGGAGAAGGGGTGAGGAAGGAGGTGCGGAAGGGGGTGGTGGGGAGGAGAAGGGGTGAGGAAGGGAGGGAGGGGATGATGCCTTGGCCCGCACTGGGTGAGCAGTGCAGCTGAGCTGTGAGGGGCGATTCCTGTGCAGTGGGGCAGAGGTGGCTGCGGAGGGATGTGGGAGAAGCAGGGGGCGGAGCTGGGGGGAAAGGGGAAGAGGAGGGAACGTGATCAAGGGAAACGGGACAGGGGAGAGGAAGGGGTAGGTGCCTCTGTGAGTGACGTGTTTGTGCAGTAGGAGGGGAGATGTTAGGGGTTCACAAGTCCGTGGATGTGGGATACATGTGAGACAGAGATACTAGTGGGGGCTGGGTGGAAAGAAGGAATCAGAGTTTGGCAGGGGACGGAAGGTAATGGAGGGTAGAAAGGGGGAATGAGTCTCACCTTGGCTGCAGCCACCTTCTCAACTCACTCTCCCAACCACCCCAAAGCCACACGCAGCGACACCTCAGTGACCGATTACCGACTCTCAGAAACTCCCACCTTAGCTAAATCCAGCTATTCAACTGCCCGCTTCTCACCATTGCCGACGAATGACTCAAGAAATTTGTGCTGCCAGATTCCTACACTCATCTTCCCCGCCCGCACCGACCCTCACCTTGGTAACATCCGGCTATTCAATTGCCCCCTGCCACGCATTGGTATAACCCAAAGAGGCCTCTGCCAGCCCTATCAGCAGCCCCCCTTTCACCGCCCCCTCGCCCTCCTCCTTGTTCTCCCCGGTACCACCACTGCCGCCACCAACACTGCTTAGGCTGCCTGGCTGTGTCCCCCCTCGTCTCGCCACCAGCCAATGTTGGGTGATTGACCACATTCTGTGGATACTGCAGCTTCATTATCGGCCGCTGAGCCGTCACTAGTAGCACAAGTCCCATCATCCATCTTCACAGCAACGATCAGCCGCTTAGTTTCGCGGTTCCGGCAGTCACTCTCCTAAAGCTGCAGCCGGATTCCGTGTCCTCAAAAACATAGCTCGGTATGTCCGTTGGCGATGCACCGCAGCAGAAGCAGGGATGATGCCAGTCCAGGCATGGCCGTGCACATGATTGACTGCGAAACTCCAATATGCGAACAGAAAAGCAGGGAATCCGAGTCTGCAATCAGGAAAGGAGACACGCAATTATCCGTGATGGGGGTTATAAAAGTGACTGACGGCTGGTCAAGCAACGCACTGACACAGGTAGTAAGGCGGAGGGCAGGGGGCAGGCGGAGGGCCGGGACGGACGGCGGAAGGACGGTGGGAGAACGGGGGTATGGCGTTCGGGCGACCTAAACCCTCTCCCTCGCCGCATGCACCCACCCCGTGAGTGCCCTCCGAAGCCGCACCCCCCTCCGCCGGAGGCGCCTCGCACCCGCCCCCCTCTGCCTCGCCGTCCTCCGCTTCGCGCCATCCTGCCTCGCCCCCATCCGCACCGCCCCCCTGTGCCTCGCCCCTCCCTCCACTCGACTGGCCACGTTCCCACGTCGGCTGCGCCCACTCCATCGCCGCGGGGCTGCTGCACCATCGCCCTCCCGCGCCCGCCGTCGCCGCGCCTTCCGCTCGCGGGTGTGCCTCCGCACCGCCACCGGCTGATTCGTGGCCGCCGGTGCGGCCGCGCATTCCGACCGCCTCTGCTCCAACCGCCTCCGCCGCCGCACGATCGTACGCACGCCGCTCACCGGCCGAACCGGCCCCTCCTAACGCCGCCCCGCTGCGTCCTCCCCGTGCATCCGCCCCTCCCCCGTCACCTCCCGTGCACGCCGTGCCTCTGCCCCCCGTTTCATCGTCCAGCCCCTCCCCGTCTCTGCTGCCTCCCTCCCTGCTACACATCCCGCCTCCCCTGCCCATCCCCCTCTCTCCCCTGGCTCCGTCTCCCGTCGCACCACCCACCTCGCCCCTGGCTGCTGCGGAACGACGAGCTTCACGCGTGGTCCGAGTCGCAAACGCTTCCGCCCACCTCCCGAGGTCCTCCTTGGCTTCTTCTATACGGCTCGGTGTGATCGACGCGTATCTACGCAGCTGCAACTTGGTTGGCGTGCCGTTTGGCTCTGCCAACTGTGGCCACCCGACGAAGCTCCGGCTCCGCCGGTATCTCCTTCCCCTCCTTCCCCGCCGCCATCTCCTTCCCCTCTTTCCCCGCCGGCATCGGCGGCTGCATCTCCTTGGGCTTGCTCACGGCCATCTCCTTGTTCTTCTCCTTCCCCTCTTTCCCCGCCGGCATCTCCTTCTCCACGATCCGCCACCCTCTCTCTCCCCCTTCCTCCGCCCCTACCGCGCCTGCCCCCCCTTCTGCCTCGCCCGCTTCCCCCGCGGCCTCCCCTGCCCTCCATCCCGTCCTCGTCTGCCCTCCCTTGCTCCCCGTCTACTGCTACTCCCTCCGCCTCCTCTCGATCCACGCCATGACCATCATCTCCACCGTGTCCCCCATCCATGTTATTCACGCATTCTTCCCCGCCCGTAGTAGTGTCGCACGGCGCGCATTCTGTGACATCACCGGCACGAGCCGACACTCCTTCAGGCTCGCTGGGCTCGGCCGAACGCTTTGCGTTTCCTTTCCTTACTGCGGTAGGTCTTGGGGACGTGGGCGACTGCCATGCAACCGAACACCCTCAGCATGTCCACCGGCGGCTTCCTCCTAAGCCACCTCTCCAAAGGCACCCACGAGTCATCCCCAACCTTGGTGAGCACCCTGTTCCTAGCGACGGTGGCGTGCTGGACAGCATGAGACCACATAGAATTACTCAGCCCAGATTCTATGAGCAACGCCCTAGCGCGGGGAAGAGACACCTTAAGAGGAACCACTACCCCAGTCTACAGATCCGGTGTCGGCGTTTCAAAGATCCAAACAAGCCAGAGAAGCTGACGTTTCCCGATGGGGGATGGGGACCGGATGTTCCCGACCGCACAGCGTGGCCTTGGGAGCATGCAGCCACGTGGCCTAGGATTCTACCGCCACCTGAGGGTACGCCCGCCAGCGCGGTGACTGGGGGCGCCGCGGCTGGTGGGAGTAGGCAAATGAACATGGGCGCATTTGTCGTGCCGCGTGTTGGTGGCCAGCAGCTGCGCGAGGGGTTGGTGCAGCTATTTGCAGGGGCCGACCTCCCGTTTCGACTTGTGGAGAGCCGCGAGGTGAGCCACGACATACTCTTCTCGGTGTTGCTTCACTATTCCGTCACGGCGTGGTCATGTTGGGATAACGCCCTCCATTTCATATGCCTTCCCGATGCCTCGTTATAATGCGTCTTACCCACCACCACTAAACCATACTTGTGTGTGTATTTGCCCTTACAGTTCAAGAGATTTGTCCAGATGCTGAACCCAGGAGCTGCGCTGCTGCTCGGCTCTCGCCATCACTTGGCACGCGACATGCAGGCATACGGGGAGGCTGCTAGGGAGGACTTGCGGCAGCTATTGGTGGGTGATGGCGGCGCGGGAAGGATGTCCCTCACCTTTGACATCTGGACCGGTGAGAATGGCCTGGTTTTCATGGGGGTGACCGTCCACTGGATCACCAGCGACTTCCAGCTGAAACAGGCTGTTATCGACTTCAGGGAGCTGAAGGGCTCTCATACGGGGGACTTGATAGCCAATGAGCTGGAGATGGTGTTGAGGGAGTGGGGCTTGGAGAAGATGCTGTTCGCCGTGACTTGCGACAACGCCGAGAACAATAGCAGGGCGATGCGGCTGCTGGCCGGTGTACCTGACCGCACGCCGGGCTCACGGCCGCGGCACCCTCCACTGCTCAGTCGCTGGAGGCACTTCATGTACTATGGGCCTATCTACGTTTCGCTATGCTAGAGAATGTTGGCATTGCTGTCAATGTTTCTAGTTGCACTGCTTATGTATTACGTCGACATCCAACCCTCGCTGCACAATGCATCGCCCCAACAGGTGCGTGGCGCACGTCGTCAACCTTGCAGTGCAGGCTGCACTGAAGGTTGACGAGGTGGCCGAGCCACTCAAGAGGCTGCGAGATGTGGCGAACTTCATCGGCTGGTCCACGCTGCGTACAGATCGTTTCTTCGAGATGCAGAGGGGATACGCGGCGACCCGGCCCCAGGGTCCTCCGGGTGCGCGGCGAGCATCGGGCCCGTTGCGCTTGATCGTGGACTGTTCGACGAGATGGGGTTCTACACTCGACATGGTGAATAGGGGCTTCGAGCTGCGCATGCCCCTTGCCATGTATTTCGAGGATGACGATGTACGTATGGTAGGAGTAACATGGCCTTGTAACTATGGCGAATGGGGGTACGTAGGCATGGCTTGACTAGTGAAGCATGTTGTGATTTGCGTGGCCATGTGAATATGTCGAAGTGCGCGCCAATACATGGATTCTTGGATGGTGCTATATGTCTTGTGCATTGCCATACCCTAAAGTCGTGTGATGTGTTCCCTTCATCTTTACAACCCATGTGACCCATTCCAGCCATCCATCAGCACGGACACTCGAAAGGCGATGGACGCCATCAAGTTGACGGAAAAGAACTGGGATGACCTCGCCGAGCTCCGAGACTTCCTCACGCCATTCCAGCAGGTCACCCTCTTCGCCGAGGGTTCCCTATACCCTACCCTCTCAGCCGTTGTACCGCAGTACAACGCGCTGATTGATCTGCAGGAGAAGGCACGGCTCACTCCTGGCATCTCCCCTCTGCGCACAGCGTTGATCACTGCTGCTCTGAGCAAGCTGGAGCGACACATGGGGGGTGTGAGCGAGGAGGCAGCTATAGCCACATTCTTGGACCCGCGCCAGAAGCTCGCACCCTTCAAGCACCGAGCGAGGGCAGCGGAGGGGAATTCGAGAGCGGCAACACTGGAGCTAGGCCCTGAAAGGGTGAAGGTTCTGGTACGGGCGCGCCTGCCAGAGTACCAGGCAGCCAGCACCACGGCACAGGGCGATGGTGGGGAGGTGACTAGTGCGAGGGGTGCAGGGGTGCATGCGTCGGCAGGGGGCGGGGCTGTGGATGCATCGGCAAGGGTCAGCTTGCAGTCTCAGCTGTTCGCAGCCTGGGACGCCATGGAGGCAGAGGAGGCGGAGGATCCACAGGATGAGGTGGATCAGTACCTCTCAGAGGGGAGGCAGAAGGGTGGAAGCGCCTTGGAGTATTGGCGCAGCAGGGAGACCCTGAAGGGCTTGAGGGCGATGGCTCGCAATTACCTGGGGGTACCGGCTTCGTCAGCAGCGAGTGAGCGCGCATTCTCACAGGGCAGGAACATCATTACGTGGCAACGGCACCGCCTGGCAGCTGGCCAAGTGCGCACTTCCATGCTGATTAAGACGTGGCAGGACCACCACCCTACGGGGACTCTCGCTCCCAGGGGCACCTCAACGGCAAATCCCACCCTGGGAGTGGAGGATGAGGCGAGGGGGCTGTGATATTTGTTCGTGATATGCTTTTGCTCTAAACTCTATCAAAACACGTGATCGGCCCTAAACTTGATTTGTTCTTGTTCCCGTACCGACTACTAGGTGACTCCGTTTGCTTTTATGCCGTTGTAGCCTTTTTTTAAACACGTGTGGCAGTTAAAGCAACTTAGAGTAGTTTGTTTACACAATGGAGGACGTTCAAATAATAATATTACACATACTTTCCATCAAACAAACACTGCACAGGAGGGACTCCCTCTAACACTGTATATGGGGGTTTGGCCCGACCCGACCCGACCCGGCCCCTACCCGACCCGACCCGGGGGCGGGTCACGCCTGACCCGGGTCCCGATACCCGGGTCAAGCCAGAGATCTTGAAAGCCCCGACCCGACCCGACCCGACCCGACCCGACCCGACCCGACCCGGAACCCGGCTGGCCCGCCCAAGTCGGGTCGGGTCGGGTCGGGCCTATTGATCATGCCTACTATCGAATAGCCGCCGCACTGTAACCTGCTTTTCGAAAAGACCAATTACCGAACCTTTTACAACCACATTAATGAACGAGCATGAGCCGATCGATCCAACAGTTTTACAATGAGAATTGTGGTGCCCCGATCAGGCAGTGCGGAACCCACCCGCGCCCAGACGTTCCACGCGCTTACGTACGGCTTGGCTACAGTGCTGTAGGTGTCTGACGAATCGCGGTGCTGAACGCGTGGGCAGAAAGGTTTGGCAAGATCTGGCGTATTTCAGTGTACATAGGATAACTTACCAACTCGATAAATGTTACCGAACAAAAAAAAGTATACACTGTTTACATGCATTTACGTGCATGCGGTTCAAAGCGATACCACTCTTATATGCTCTTTTGTGAAGCAAAGCAGGTATTAGCAGTGGACCAACTACAGGTCAGTCAGTCTTATCGATAAACTGTAACAGAGTGCCATGCACGGAATAATCAAATGACGAGATTGTGGCTACAACAAAATTGACAGGACGATGTAGCAAGAATTGTGGCTAGGCAGGCAGGCGGGAGGGACTGCAGAGGGGAGAATGGTGGGTAGGAGGGGATAGGATGGATTCAGAGGGGATGGGATGGATTGAGAAGGGAGGTGAGAGGGGAGGTGAGAGGGGAGGTGAAAAGCCAGAGAAAGAGAGTCCTTGAAGGACTCCCCTCTCACCTCCCCGCTCACTTCCCCTCTCACCTCCCCTCTCACCTCCCTTCTCAATCCATCCCATCCCCTCTGAATCCATCCCATCCCCTCCTACTCCCAATTCTCCCCTCTGCAGTCCCTCCCGCCTGCCTGCCTTGCTACAATTCTTGCTACATCATCCTGTCAATTTTGCTGTAGCCACAATCTCGTCATTTGATTATTTTGTGCATGGCACTATGTTATCGTTCATCGATAACACTAACTGACTTGTAGTTGGTCCACTGTTAATACCTGCTTCGTTTCACAAAAGGGCATATAAGAGTGGCATCGCTTTGAGCCGCATGCACGTAAATGCATGTAAACAGTGTATACTTTTTTTTCTGTAACTGTTATCGAGTTGGTAAGTTATCCTATGTACACTGAAATACGCCAGATCTTGCCAAACATTTCTGCCCGCGCATTCAGCACCGCGATTCGTCAGACACCTACAACACTGTAGCCAAGCCGTACGTAAGCGCGTGGAACGTCTGAGCGCGGGTGGGTTCCGCACTGTCTGATCGGGGCACCACAATTCTCATTGTAAAACTGTTGGATCGATCGGCTCACGCTCGTTCATCAACGTGGTTGTAAAATGTTCGGTAATTGGTCTCTTCGAAAAGCAGGTTACAGTGCGGCGGCTATTCGATAGTTTCCCAGATCGGGCACCTTTTACAAAGTCCTAAGCACTGCTGCGAAAATGATTTACTTGTACGAAAGGAAAAGGGTTCGGAACAAATGTTTGCGAAACAAACACTGACGGGGGCGAACTTTTTAAACGAAACTGAGGAACCCTACACCTGAAATACGGAGGCACATGTGCAAGGGGTAGGGGTTGTTGGGAGGGAAAGAACAGCGAATGGGAACGGCAGTGCAACAAGCACTCGAAACACCAAATGCATTCAAGAACTCGCTCGACACTGCAGCAGCTACCACCATTATCGTAGTTGCTTCATCCCCGCCCACTATATCCGCGCTAATCATTAGCAAGACCCGCGCGAGAGGTTAGCCAGCATTACGCCATGCTGTAACCGTGCCTTCGCCATACCAGCAACTCGTCACCGTGCCCCGCTGTCATCACAAAGTCGTAGGGATCTTGATACCGCCACACTCTCGTGCGACGCCTTCGCAAACATGCGTAACACCCCGGCCTCCCACATGCGACGCGAACCTCTCCCGTGTGAACCCCACCACTCTTGTGCGACGTCCTCCGCCCCGACGCCGGTAACGACAGAGGTCCCAGCCTCCATCCCCGTGCGACGCACCCCTACTATCGACGCGCTTTGCTCGAGCATTCGCATCTTATCTACCGCGCGTCGCACGACCTCCGCTGTGTGACGCACCGCTTCTCGGCGGCGACAAACCTTTACTTGTGAGACACATAGTTGCTGCTAAAATGCTTTCATCGTGTGTGCTCTTTATTCTTGGAGCCTAGAAAGGGTGCGAAAGGCGGAAGTGGCCCTCCCCTTCGAGGAAAGATTTTGGGTGCGGGGTTGCGTCACTTCGGTGTATCCTCTCTCCCTATCTCGTCCTCCATGCCACACAGGGTACACTAAACCCTAATTATTTGTTTCTGAACCCACGCAAAGCAAGTGGGGACCCGCGTTTCCCCGATGGTATATTTTGCTGCAATAAGGCATTCCGAAGTCGATTGTGCCGGTGCTGAAGCCAGGCACCAAGGAGAGATGCAGAAAAGCGATGCTGAACACAAAGAGAACTGCTCGCGTACAGCTTAGTATTTGTTGTTCTAGTTCTCTCCTCACCCTGAAACCGCAGTACCTAATTGTGTTCATTATCACGTTCCACGCTGCGACGGAATAAAGCATTCACGCGCAAACTCTCCACTACGTTCGTGGTTTGTAGATCCTACCCCCGACCCTGTTGAGCGATCGTTCCCCACCCGTTCGGCGCCTCCGGTCGCGATATGTGCGAGACGTTCCTAGTACGCTCATGTTTTTGTCGTAAACACCACCCAGTTGCGCAGCAGAGGCGTGCGAACAAGTGTGTACCGTCCCCTATCCCATCTCGTCCGTGTCCTCGTGTGTTCGCAGATCACAAGCTGTAGATGGCGCCCACAAGTCGAAGCCGAACTGCCCCGACTCGATCGCGGAGCGAGACGCATACAACGAGTGGTGGGATAAAGCGTGGGAGGGAGACCGTTGCCCCCGCCCCTCGCCTGAAAGCAAAGGCAACGCGTTCGGCCGAACCCAGCGAGCCTGAAGGAGTGTCGGCTCGTGCCGATGATGTCACGGAATGCGCGCCAAGCGACACTACTACGAGCGGGGAAGAAGGCGTGAACAAGCATGGATGGGGGACACGGTGGAGGCAGGTGGGGACGAGGGGATAGAGGAGGCCGAGAGGGAGCGAGAGGGGGAGGGAGAGGGAGCGGTGTAAGGGGGGGCAGGAGCGGTGTGCAGAGCGGCGGGAGAAAGCGTGAAAGGGAGGCCGTTGCCGCCGCCCCTCGGCGGAAAGCAAACGCAAAGCGTTCGGCCGCGCCCAGCGAGCCTGAAGGAGTGTCGGCTCGTGCCGGTGATGTCACAGAATGCGCGCCGTGCGACACTACTACGGGCGGGGAAGAATGCGTGAAAAACATGGATGGGGGACACGGTGGAGATGATGGTCATGGCGTGGAACGAGAGGGGGCGGAGGGAGTAGCAGTAGACGGGGAGCAAGGGAGGGCAGACGAGGACGGGATGGAGGGCAGGGGAGGCCGCGGGGGAAGCGGGCGAGGCAGAAGGGGGGGCAGGCGCGGGAGGGGCGGAGGAAGGGGGAGAGAGAGGGCGGCGGATTGTGGAGAAGGAGATGCCGGCGGGGAAAGAGGGGAAGGAGAAGAACAAGGAGATGGTCGTGAGCAAGCCCAAGGAGATGCAGCCACCGATGCCGGCGGGGAAAGAGGGGAAGGAGATGGCGGCGGGGAAGGAGGGGAAGGAGATACTGGCGGAGCCGGAGCTTCGTCGGGTGGCCACAGTTGGCAGAGCGCAAACGGCACGCCAACCAAGTTGCGGCTGCGTAGATACGCGTCGATCACACCGAGCCGTATAGAAGAAGCCAAGGAGGACCTCGGGAGGTGGGCGGAAGCGTTTGCGACTCGGACCACGCGTGAAGCTCGTCGTTCCGCAGCAGCAAGGGGCGAGGTGGGTGGTGCGACGGGAGACGGAGCCAGGGGAGAGGGGGGCATGGGCACGGGAGGCGGGATGGGTAGCAGGGAGGGAGGCAGCAGAGACGGGGAGGGGCTGGACGATGCAACGGGGGGCGGAGGCAGGGCGTGCATGGGAGGTGACGGGGGAGGGGCGGATGCACGGGGAGGACGTAGCGGGGCGGCGTTAGGAGGAGCCGGTTCGACCGGTGAGCGGCGTGCGTACGATCGTGCGGCGGCGGAGGCGGTTGGAGCAGAGGCAGTCGGAATGCACGGCCGCATCGGCGGCCACGAATCAGCCGGTGGCGGTGCGGAGGCACACCCGCGAGCGGAAGGCGCGGCGACGGCGGGCGCGGGAGGGCGATGGTGCAGCAGCCCCGCGGCGATGGAGTGGGCGCAGCCGACGTGGGAACGTGGCCAGTCGAGTGGAGGGAGGGGCGAGGCACAGGGGGGCGGTGCGGATGGGGGCGAGGCAGGATGGCGCGATGCGGAGGGCGGCGAGGCAGAGGGGGGCGGGTGCGAGGCGCCTCCGGCGGAGGGGGGTGCGGCTTCGGAGGGCACTCACAGGGTGGGTGCATGCGGCGAGGGAGAGGGTTTAGGTCGCCCGAACGCCATACCCCCGTTCTCCCACCGTCCTTCCGCCGTCCGTCCCGGCCAAGGTGCAAAAATACGGTTTTCATAAATTACGGTCCGTTTTTTACAGCCCGTTTTTTACGGTAATTTTTCAAAAATACGGCGTTTTTTTGTTAGAGAACTCTTGTCACCAAGGAAAAAAAGGCAAAAACAAGGCCGGATACATTTTCAATTATGCCCACATGCACACATGCACACATGCAAGGAGGGGTTCGTCCTCTTCATCCTGGTGCTTTTCGCCATCAATTTGGCCCCATAAATTAGCCGATTTTCTCTTCAAACTAAAATCATATTTTGGAACCGTTTTTTAACCATTTTTTATGGTAAATTTCCAAAAAAACGACGTTTTTTTTAACCTTGGTCCCGGCCCTCCGCGTGCCCCCTGCCCTCCGCCCGGCCCTGCCCTCGGGCCTCCCCCGGAACCTACCCGCGTCTACTACGACGATCCGTACTTGACGGGCTTCATCCGGCGCGAGGTGGAGAAGCACGTGCACGAGCTGTTCGCTGCGCACATCGGCCAGCCGCCAAACGGGTCGACCGCGTGTGCACCGGGCCCCGCCGCCATCCCACGCCCATACGCAGCGCCGGCTCGCTCCGCCACTCCCGCGCGACTGGGAGCACAACCGCTGCAGTCGTCGGCGCAAGAGACGCGGAAGAGATACCCCGGGGTGGTGACACACACGATATTTCGGGGTCTGTACGTGGTCGTGCGGGTCATGTCATCACACCCAACCCGCCCCACATGCCAATGCCACGTCATCACACCCGACCCGACCCGACCCACCTCGGCGGCGCCACCTCACCGCCGCCACGTCACGCGCTGATCCAGCCCACCCTCCTGGCACGCCACGTCATCACGCCCAACCCGCCCCACAAGCCATGCCACGTCATCACACCCGACCCACCTCGTGCCGGAGCTCGTGTGGCTGCCGTGCCATGCTGTCCCCTGTAGTTGCACACATAGCTGAGAGCGAGGGGAAGGGAGGAGAGGGTGGGCGGGAGAGGGGAGGAATGAGAGGAGAGCAGCGAGAGAGGAAAGGGGAGAGAAGAGACGGGATGGGGGAGACAAGAGGCCGCCCCTTTATAAAAATTTTACCCCCCAAGGTCCCCCCAGGGTCCCCCCAGGGTCCCCCCAGGGTCCCCCCAGGGTCCCCCCCGGGTCCCCCCGGTCCCCCGGTCCCCCGGTCCCCCCGGTCCCCCCGGTCCCCCCGGTCCCCCGAGTCCCCCGAGTCCCCCGAGTCCCCCGAGTCCCCCGAGTCCCCCGAGTCCTCCAAGTCCCCCATGTCGTTGCATTCCCCCATGTCCCCCCATTCCCCATGTTCAAAACAAAAAACAGCAACAACAATAGCACAGAAGCGAAAGCAGAGAACATACACACAGGGAAGGATTTGGTGTGCTCGAGAAAATGTGCACTTTGCACTCACCACCGTCAATCGCACACCGCATCCGTTGGTGCCCCGCGCATCCTCGCTGCCCCGAACCGCCTGCAGGGGAGATGGCAGGCACGGCACAAGGCGGGCAGAAAGTTGGCGAGGAATGAGCAGGCCGGCTGCCTTTTAGGCGAGAGAAGATGAGAAGGAGACCCATGTAAATGCAAAATTATGGAAACATAGAGGGGAAAAGAGAACAAAACAAAACAAAACAGAAATCATAAACATAAACTTAACCCAAACACAGAAACAGAACAAGAACAAGAGAAAAAGCAAAAGCAAAAGCAAAAGCAAAAGCAAAAGCAAAAACCAGACAAGAGGCCAACCCCCCTCGCCATGTCCAACCGTGCCTCCACCAGGTCCGGCCGCGCCTCCACCAGGTCCGGCCTTGCCTCGACCTGGTCTGCCTGACATCCACCGGGTCTGCCAGGCTTCCACCTGGTCTGGCCGGACCTCCACTGGGTCTGCCTGACCTCCATCAGGTCCGACCAGACCTCCACCGGTTCTGCCGGGGCTCCACCAGGTCCGGCCGGACCTCCACCGGCTCTGTAGGACCCCCACCAGGTCCTTTCGGAGCTCCACCGGTCTGCCGAACCTCCACCAGGTCCCCCCGAGACCTCCGCCGGGTCCACCGGACCTTCACCAGGTCTGGCCGGACCTCCGCCGAGTCTGCCGAACCTCCACCAGGTCTGACCGGACCTCTGCCGGGTCTGCCGAGCCTCCACCAGGTCCGGCCGGACCTCCGCCGGGTCCGCCGGACCTCCATCAGGTCCGGTCGGACCTCCTCCGGGTCCGTCGGACCTACACCAGGTCTAGCCGGACCTCCGCCGAGCCTGCCGGGCCTCCGCCGGGTCTGCCGAACCTCCACCAGGTCCGGCCGGACCTCCGCCGGGTCTGCAGAGCCTCCACCAGGTCCGGCCGGACCTCCGCCGGGTCCGCCGAGCCTACACCAGGTCTGGCCGGACCTCCGCCCAGCCTGCTGTTTCTCCGCCGGGTCTGCCGAACCTCCACCAGGTCCGGCCGGACCTCCACCGGGTCTGCCGAGCCTTCCAAGGTCCGGCCGGACCTCCGCCGGGTCCGCCGGACCTACAACAGGTCTGGCCGGACCTCCGCCGAGCCTGCCGGACCTCCACCAGGTCTGGCCGGACCTCCGCTGGGTCTGCCGAGCCTACACCAGGTCTGGCCGGACCTCCGCCGGGCCTGCCGAGCCTACACCAGGTTCGGCCGGACCTCCGCCGGGCCTGCCGAACCTCTACCAGGTCCGGCCAGAACTCCACCGGGCCTGCCGGGCCTCCGTCAAGTCCGGCCGGACCTCCGCCGGGTCTTCCGGACCTCCCCCGGGTCCGCCACGTCACGCGCCACACCGCCGCCCCGTCACACCCAGCCCAACCCACCTCACCGCCACGTCACCGCCGCCACGTCACGCGCCGATCCAGCCCACCCTCCCCGGTGCCACGTCACACCCAACCCGCCCCACATGCCCATGCCACGTCATCACACCCAACCCGACCCGACCCACCTCGGCGGCGCCACGTCACCGCCACGTCACGCGCCGACCCAGCCCACCCTCCCCAGTGCCACGTCACACCCAACCCGCCCCACATGCCCATGCCACGTCATCACACCCAACCCGACCCGACCCACCTCGGCGGCGCCACGTCACCGCCACCACGTCACGAGCCGATCCAGCCCAACCCTCCCCAGTGCCACGTCACACCCAACCCGCCCCACATGCCCATGCCACGTCATCACACCCGACCCGACCCGACCCACCTCGGCGCCGCCACGTCACCGCCGCCACGTCACGCGCCGCTCCAGCCCACCCGCGTCCCTCGCATGCCACGTCATCACGCTCAACCCGCCCCACAAGCCATGCCACGTCATCACACCCGACCCGACCCACCTCGGCAGCGCCACGTCACCGCCACGTCACGCTCCGCCCCAGCCCACCCGTGTCCCTCGCACGCCACGTCATCACTCCCAACCCGCCCCACATGCCCATGCCACGTCATCACTCCCAACCCGCCCCACATGCCCATGCCACGTCACCACACCCTACCCGACCCACCTCGGCGGCGCCACGTCATCGCCACGTCACGCGCGCTCCAGCACACCCGTGTCCCTCGCACGCCACGTCATCACTCCCAACCCGCCCCACATGCCCATGCCACGTCATCACACCCGACCCGACCCGACCCACCTCGGCGGCGCCACGTCATCGCCGCCACGTCACGCGCCGCTCCAGCCCACCCGTGTCCTTCGCACATCACGTCATCACACCCAACCCGCCCCACATGCCAATGCCACGTCATCACACCCGACCCGACCCGACCCACCTCGGCGGCGCCACGTCACCGCCGTCACGTCACGCGCTGATCCAGCCCACCCTCATGGCACGCCACGTCATCACGCCCAACCCGCCCCACAAGCCATGCCACGTCATCACACCCGACCCACCTCGTGCCGGAGCTCGTGTGGCTGCCGTGCCATGCTGTCCCCCGTAGTTGCACACATAGCTGAGAGCGGGGGGAAGGGAGGAGAGGGTGGGCGGGAGAGGGGAGGAATGAGAGGAGAGCAGCGAGAGAGGAAAGGGGAGAGAAGAGACGGGATGGGGGAGACAAGAGGCCGCCCCTTTATAAAAATTTTACCCCCCAAGGTCCCCCCAAGGTCCCCCCAAGTCCCCAGAACAAGAACAAAAGCATAAGCATAAGCAAAAGCAAAGGCAAAAAACAAAAGCAGAAGCAAAAACCAGACAAGAGGCCTCCATCCCCCCAGGCGTGCCTCCACCAGGTCCGGCCGGACCTCCACCGGGTCTGCCTGACATCCACTGGGTCTGGCCGGACCTCCGCTGGGTCTGCCTGACCTCCATCAGCTCCAGCCAGGCCTCCACCTGTTCTGCCGGGCCTCCACCAAGTCCGGCCGGACCTCATTGCTCCTGCTCGGCCGGACGTCATTGCTCCTGCTCCTTGAAGCGACTCTTGCACACAAAGCTGAGGGCAGGGGCGGGGAGAGAGAAGCAGGTGGGGAGGAGACGGGAGGGATGAGAGGAGAGGTGAGGGTAGAGGAGACAAGGGATGGGGGAGGGAGCCCGCGGGCGCATTAGAGTGAGATAAGGAATGCACATTAGAGTGCGCGAGAGGGAGCGCGAGGGAATGCGTGAGAGCCCGTGAGTGTGTGAGTGAGAGATTGTGTGAGAGAGCGTGTGAGAGAGTGCGTGAGTGCGCGTGAGAGAGCGCGTGAGAGGGCGCATGAGAGTGCGAGCGAGAGAGCCTGTGAAAGAGCGTGCGAGAGAGCACGTGAGAGAGAGAATGCGCGTGAGAGTGCGCGAGAGGTTGCGCGAGAGAGAGCGTGTGAGGGAGCGCGTGAGAGTGCGCTTGAGAGAGCGCGTGAGAGAGCGTGTTCGAGAGTGCGTCAGAGAGTGCAGTAGAGAGCGCGTGAGAGAGCACGTGAGAGAGAGCGTGAGAGCACGTGAGAGAGAGCGTGAGGGAGCGCGTGAGAGTGTGCGTGAGAGATCGCGTGCGTGAGAGAGCGCGTGAGGGAGCACGTGTGAGAGCACGTGAGAGAACGCGTGAGAGAGCGTCTGAGAGAGCGCGTGAGAGAGCGCGTGAGAGAGCGTGTGAGAGATTGCATCAAAGAAGCGCGTGAGAGTGCGTGAGAGTGTGTGAGAGAGAGCGCATGAGAGAGAATGCACATTAGAGTGCGCGAGAGGGAGCGCGAGGGAATGCGTGAGAGCCCGTGAGAGTGTGAGTGAGAGATTGTGTGAGAGAGCGTGTGAGAGAGTGCGTGAGTGCGCGTGAGAGAGCGCGTGAGAGGGCGCATGAGAGTGCGAGCGAGAGAGCCTGTGAAAGAGCGTGCGAGAGAGCACGTGAGAGAGAGAATGCGCGTGAGAGTGCGCGAGAGGTTGCGCGAGAGAGAGCGTGTGAGGGAGCGCGTGAGAGTGCGCTTGAGAGAGCGCGTGAGAGAGCGTGTTCGAGAGTGCGTCAGAGAGTGCAGTAGAGAGCGCGTGAGAGAGCACGTGAGAGAGAGCGTGAGAGCACGTGAGAGAGCCTGTGAGGGAGCGCGTGAGAGTGTGCGTGAGAGATCGCGTGCATGAGAGAGCGCGTGAGAGAGCACGTGTGAGAGCGCGTGAGGGAGCGCGTGAGAGAGCGCGTGAGTGAGCGAGTGAGAGCGCGTGAGTGTGCGCATGAGAGAGCACGTCAGAGAGTGTCAGAGAGCGCGTGAGAGTCACGAGAGAGCGCGTGAGAGGCGTGTGAGGGAGCGCATGAGAGAGCGCGTGAGAGAGCGTGAGAGGGAGCGTGTGTGGGTTGACTACTCTGTTTTTGCTTGTGCAGGGCGTGTGTTGGCTTCTCTGTTTTTGGTTTGTGCAGGGCGCGTGTGTGCTAACTTCTCTGTTTTTGCTTTGTGCAGGGCATGTGTGTGTTGACTTCTCTGATTTTGCTTTGTGCAGGGCGTGTGTGTGTTGACTTCTCTGATTTTGCTTTGTGCAGGGCGTATGTGTGTTGACTTCCCTGGTTTTGCTTTGTGCAGGGCGTGTATATGCCTCACTCCCAGAAGAATGGGAGTGAGGCATATACGGCAAACGCATGGGTGATAGCACACAAGTGGTGACGACGAGGTTGCTCGAAATCGTGACATTTCGACCCCCAGCCGGCAGATCCGCTCCGCATCACTCTCGCCCGCTGCGCGCCGCGATAACTACGCCGCAGCTGCTGCGCGCCGCGGTTACTACGCCGCAGCTGCTGCGCGCCGCGGTTACTACGCCGCAGCTGCAGCGCGTGATTCCGCCGTAGCCGCGGCGCGATTCCATTGCAGCCGCGGCTCGCGGCCAGCAGCTGATGCAGCTGGCGATTCTGCCGCCTAATCAAGTGGTTCAGACGATGTTAGAGCGCCATTCCGAGTTTAGTTTTTACCAGCAACACCTAACTACACGCGTCTACCAGGTACGCACACGCGCCGCATAAGCTCCTAAGCTCCGTGATGTGTGCAGCAGCTAAATATTTCGCCAGGCTTCATGGATAAGTGGGTGGAAGGTGGGTGGAATACGAGTGACGAGTTGGGAGGGGAGGGAAATGCGTGAGGCAGCGGGTGTTGGGAAGGAGGGCGCGGAACACAAGGGGTGTTAGGAACTCCGAATAGACTTAGTTACCAGTGACAGGGGATAATAAGTCTCTACGCGCGGCTCGAAGGAGAGGTGGGTCACACGCCCTCCTGTTGACGACCACGACAGGCGGCTTGACCATCGGACCTCGGATGAACGGAAACAAAATTGTGGACTTGCAGTTCCGTAAGCTTCGAGTTACCACGAATTTGAAAGTCTAATAAGGAGGCGGTTGATTGTAGGAGTCGTCAAAAAACAAAATAGTATGCAAATTGGGAAGAGGCGCCACGGCTGGGCAAGCAAGGTATTGAAGGCCCACTGTCATAGGATACTTATGCGCGCCGAGCTGATATGAACTTTGGATTTCTCGAGTCTCGAGGCAGGTAACGAACCGAAACCAAGGACCAGGCTGCTGGTCTCTGGTGGGAGGTTCGGGCTGTTCCGAGCCTAAACACAGGTCTTGTTCCTTTTTTTCGACGCTCGAGACTGGTACGGACGAGTCCTGTTTGGGGATAGCGGGAATGACAGGCGAAACGCAATTCGCCAAATGCAGAACATCCGCAACAAGGCTCGACGATGAACGTCGTAAGGGTTGCGTAGGCGTTACTATTATAGTATTTAGAAAAAAAGAAACAGAAAATGCATTATATCATTAAAAAATCACAAACTATGCACGTCCGATTAAAAAAATCGCTTAGCATTTTTCTCTCTTGTGATTTAGTGATAGTTAATGGGGAAAGATTTAACGATTGATATTTTTTGTTATTATAATACGAATTGTGTTTTTCACCTACAACTTATTAGCAATATCCCATTACTCTTAGTGGGTTTGTTTATATGCGGCTCATCTTGATGTGTCTGACAGATGGATAGCGTGGTCATGCGTGTGTTGTCACGTGATCCTACATCCAAATCTTGTGTGTGTGCTTTCTTTGTTTTTAATTTTCATGTGCCCAGGTTAATTTCAACTTCGCCCGTGAATGTAGCTTGCAATTCGCCCAATCATCATACCACTCTACGCTTATTTTATAAACCGATTTTTTGCCTCGTTTTGTCATGGCAGAAAATTTTCTTGCCAGCGCCACACATTCGCAACCACCCATTTTCTTGCCAGCACCACATGCCCTCCCTTTCTTCCGCTGTCAACTCGAATTCTCTGCTGACGGTTTCTTGAATTTAGTTTCTACCCCGCTCCCTCTACCAGTCGCTTTGCTGCTGTGCGCTTCCAATTCCCTTCCAATTCGAACTGCCTACTCGAATTCCTCCTGTACCTGTTCTCTCTCCCGTTTTCTACCAACCCACCGTCGCCCATCCCGCAACTATCGCGTTTTACCACCACCTGTCGCCTCTCCCTCCTACCCCGCCGTCGCCATTCCCTCCCATCCCGCCGCTACCTCTCACCCCGTCGTCGCCTCTCACTCCCACCCCGTTGTCGCCTCTTCCTCGCTCCCCGCCATCGCCACTACCTCCCACCCTGCCGTCGCCACTCGCTCTTATCCCGCCGCCGCCTCTTCTCCAATCCCGCCGCCGCCTCTTCTCCAATCCCGCCGCCGCCACCTCCTCCTATCCCGCAGTCGCCTCTCCCTCCTCCCCGCCGTCGCCTCTCCCTCCTCCCCGCCGTCGCCTCTCCCTCCTCCCCGCCGTCGCCTCTCCCTCCTCCCCGCCGTCGCCTCTCCCTCCTCCCCGCCATCGCCTCTCCCTCCTTCCTGCCATCGCCTCTAGCGACAGGTGCACGAGCGCAAGCGTGAGTTGGTGCGCGAGGGCGGGTCGGTGCGCGAGCTCGGGTGGGTGCGCGAGCGCGGGTTGGTGCGCCAGCGCGGGTAGTTTTCTGAGGCATTGTGATTATCAGGTGCGTTCTCGGTCCTTTAATCCTCCCGCCCCCTTCTGAAATTTCCCCCTTTTTTTTTTCTTTTCTGCTCGCCTCGTAGGGACTGCGCAAGAGAGTGCACGAGAGTGAGCACGTGAGAGAGCGTGTGAGAGCCCGTGAGAGAGCGCGTGAGAGAGCGCGTGAGAGGGCGCGTGTTTAAGAGCGCGTGGGAGAGCGCGTGAGAGAGCGTGTGAGTGATTGCATCAAAGAAGCGCGTCAAAGTGCATGAGAGTGTGCGAGAGAGAGCGCGTGAGAGAGAATGCACAAGAGAGTGCGCGAGAGGGAGCGCGGGGGAATGCGTGTGAGAGAGCGCGTGAGGGAGCGCGTGAGAGAGCGCGTGAGAGAGCGCGTGAGAGAGCGCGTGAGAGAGCGCGTGAGAGTGCGCGTGAGAGTGCGCGTGAGAGTGCGCGTGAGAGTGCGCGTGAGAGTGCGCGTGAGAGAGCACGAGCGCATGAGAGAGCGCGTGAGAGAGCGCGTGAGAGAGCGCGTGAGAGAGTGCGTGAGAGAGTGCGTCAGAGAGCGCGTGAGAGAGCGCGTGAGAGATTGCATCAAAGAAGCGCGTGAGAGTGTACGAAAGAGAGCGCGTGAGAGAGAATGCACAGAGAGTGCGCGAGAGGGAGCGCGGGGGAATGCGTGAGAGCCCGTGAGAGATTGCATGAGAGAGCGTATGAGAGAGCGCGTGAGAGAGCGCGTGAGAGAGCGCGTGAGAGAGCGCGTGAGAGAGCGCGTGAGAGAGCGCGTGAGAGTGCGCGTGAGAGTGCGTGTCAGAGTGCGCGTGAGAGTGCGCGTGAGAGTGCGCGTGAGAGAGCGCGTGAGAGAGCGCGTGAGAGAGCGCGTGAGAGCGCGTGAGCGAGCGCGTGAGAGTGCGTGTGAGAGTGCGCGTGAGAGAGCACGAGCGCGCGAGAGAGCGCATGAGAGAGCGCGTGAGAGAGTGCGTGAGAGAGTGCGTCAGAGAGCGCGTGAGAGAGTGCGTGAGAGAGCGCGTGAGCGCGTGAGAGTGCGTGAGCGAGCGTGTGAGAGTGCGCGTGAGAGTGCGCGTGAGAGTGCGCGTGAGAGAGCACGAGCGCGTGAGAGAGTGCGTGAGAGAGTGCGTCAGAGAGCGCGTGAGAGTGCGCGTGAGAGAGCGCGTGAGAGAGCGCGTGAGAGAGCGCGTGAGAGCGCGTGAGCGAGCGCGTGAGAGAGCTTGTGAGAGAGTGCATGAGAGAGTGTGTCAGAGAGCGCATGAGGGAGCGCGTGAGAGATTGCATCAAAGAAGCGCGTGAGAGTGTGCGAGAGAGAGCGCGTGAGAGAGAATGCACAGAGTGCGCGAGAGGGAGCGCGGGGGAATGCGTGAGAGCCCGTGAGAGATTGCATGAGAGAGCGCGTGAGAGAGCGCGTGAGAGTGCGCGTGTTAGAGCGCGTGAGAGAGCGCGTGAGAGAGCGCGTGAGAGAGCGCGTAAGCGAGCGCGTGAGAGTGCGCGTGAGAGTGCGTGTGAGAGTGCGCGTGAGAGTGCGTGTGAGAGAGCACGAGCGCTTGAGAGAGCGGGTGGGAGAGCACGTGAGAGAGCGCGTGAGAGAGTGCGTCGGAGAGCGCGTGAGAGTGCGCATGCGAGAGTGGTGAGGGAGCGGGTGAGAGAGCACGTGAGAGAGCGCGTGAGAGCACATGAGAGAGCGCGTGAGAGAGCGCGTGAGAGTGCGCGTGAGAGAGCGCGTCAGAGAGCACGTGGGAGAGCGCGTGAGAGAGCGCGTGAGAGTGCGCGTGAGAGTGCGCGTGAGAGTTGCGTGAGAGCGCGCGCGCGCGTGAGAGAGCGCGTGAGAGAGCGCGTGAGAGAGCGCGTGAGAGTGCGCATGCGAGTGCGCATGCGAGAGCGTGTAAAAGAGCGGGTGAGAGAGCACGTGAGAGAGAGCGTGAGAGCACATGAGAGAGCCCGTGAGAGAGCGCGTGAGAGTGTGCGTGAGAGAGTGCGTGCGTGAGAGAGCGCGTGAGAAAGCACGTGTGAGAGCACGTGAGAGTGCGTGAGAGTGTGCGAGAGAGTGTGCGTCAGAGAGCGCATGAGAGAGAATGCACAAGAGAGTGCACGAGAGGGAGCGCGGGGGAATGCGTGAGAGCCCGTGAGAGATTGCATGAGAGATTGCATGAGAGAGCGTGTGAGAGAGCGTGTGAGAGAGCGCGTGAGAGTGCACGTGAGAGAGCGTGTGAGGGAGCGCATGAGAGAGAGCGTGAGAGCACGTGAGAGAGCGTGAGAGAGTGCGTGAGAGAGCGTGTGAGAGCACATGAGAGCACATGAGAGAGCGCGTGAGAGAGCGCGTGAGAGTGCGCGTGAGAGAGCGCGTGAGAGAGCGCGTGAGAGAGCACGTGGGAGAGCGCGTGAGAGAGCGCGTGAGAGTGCGCGTGAGAGTGCGCGTGAGAGTGCGCGTGAGAGTGCGCGTGAGAGAGCGCGAGCGTGTGAGAGAGCGCGTGAGAGAGCGCGTCAGAGAGCGCGTGAGGGAGCGCATGCGAGTGCGTGTAAGAGCGGGTGAGAGAGCACGTGAGAGAGAGCGTGAGGAAGCGCGTGAGAGTGTGCGTGAGAGATCGCGTGCGTGAGAGAGCGCGTGAGGGAGCACATGTGAGAGCACGTGAGAGAACGCGTGAGAGAGCGTCTGAGAGAGCGCGTGAGAGAGCGAGTGAGAGAGCGCGTGAGAGAGCGTGTGAGAGATTGCATCAAAGAAGCGCGTGAGAGTGCGTGAGAGTGTGTGAGAGAGAGCGCATGAGAGAGAATGCACATTAGAGTGCGCGAGAGGGAGCGCGAGGGAATGCGTGAGAGCCCGTGAGTGTGTGAGTGAGAGATTGTGTGAGAGAGCGTGTGAGAGAGTGCGTGAGTGCGCGTGAGAGAGCGCGTGAGAGGGCGCATGAGAGTGCGAGCGAGAGAGCCTGTGAAAGAGCGTGCGAGAGAGCACGTGAGAGAGAGAATGCGCGTGAGAGTGCGCGAGAGGTTGCGCGAGAGAGAGCGTGTGAGGGAGCGCGTGAGAGTGCGCTTGAGAGAGCGCGTGAGAGAGCGTGTTCGAGAGTGCGTCAGAGAGTGCAGTAGAGAGCGCGTGAGAGAGCACGTGAGAGAGAGCGTGAGAGCACGTGAGAGAGCCTGTGAGGGAGCGCGTGAGAGTGTGCGTGAGAGATCGCGTGCATGAGAGAGCGCGTGAGAGAGCACGTGTGAGAGCGCGTGAGGGAGCGCGTGAGAGAGCGCGTGAGTGAGCGAGTGTGAGAGCGCGTGAGTGTGCGCATGAGAGAGCACGTCAGAGAGTGTCAGAGAGCGCGTGAGAGTCACGAGAGAGCGCGTGAGAGTCACGAGAGAGCGCGTGAGAGGCGTGTGAGGGAGCGCGTGAGAGAGCGCGTGAGAGAGCGCGAGAGGGAGCGTGGTGTGGGTTGACTACTCTGTTTTCTGCTTGTGCAGGGCGTGTGTTGGCTTCTCTGTTTTTGGTTTGTGCAGGGCGCGTGTGTGCTAACTTCTCTGATTTTGCTTTGTGCAGGGCGTGTGTGTGTTGACTTCTCTGATTTTGCTTTGTGCAGGGCGTATGTGTGTTGACTTCCCTGGTTTTGCTTTGTGCAGGGCGTGTATATGCCTCACTCCCAGAAGAATGGGAGTGAGGCATATACGGCAAACGCATGGGTGATAGCACACAAGTGGTGACGACGAGGTTGCTCGAAATCGTGACATTTCGACCCCCAGCCGGCAGATCCGCTCCGCATCACTCTCGCCCGCTGCGCGCCGCGATAACTACGCCGCAGCTGCTGCTGCGCGCCGCGGTTACTACGCCGCAGCTGCTGCGCGCCGCGGTTACTACGCCGCAGCTGCAGCGCGTGATTCCGCCGTAGCCGCGGCGCGATTCCATTGCAGCCGCGGCTCGCGGCCAGCAGCTGATGCAGCTGGCGATTCTGCCGCCTAATCAAGTGGTCAGACGAGGTTAGAGCGCCATTCCGAGTTTAGTTTTTTACCAGCAACACCTAACTACACGCGTCTACCAGGTACGCACACGCGCCGCATAAGCTCCTAAGCTCCGTGATGTGTGCAGCAGCTAAATATTTCGCCAGGCTTCATGGATAAGTGGGTGGAAGGTGGGTGGGAATACGAGTGACGAGTTGGGAGGGGAGGGAAATGCGTGAGGCAGCGGGTGTTGGGAAGGAGGGCGCGGAACACAAGGGGTGTTAGGAACTCCGAATAGACTTAGTTACCAGTGACAGGGGATAATAAGTCTCTACGCGCGGCTCGAAGGAGAGGTGGGTCACACGCCCTCCTGTTGACGACCACGACAGCGGCTTGACCATCGGACCTCGGATGAACGGAAACAAAATTGTGGACTTGCAGTTCCGTAAGCTTCGAGTACCACGAATTTGAAAGTCTAATAAGGAGGCGGTTGATTGTAGGAGTCGTCAAAAAACAAAATAGTATGCAAATTGGGAAGAGGCGCCACGGCTGGGCAAGCAAGGTATTGAAGGCCCACTGTCATAGGATACTTATGCGCGCGAGCTGATATGAACTTTGGATTTCTCGAGTCTCGAGGCAGGTAACGAACCGAAACCAAGGACCAGGCTGCTGGTCTCTGGTGGGAGGTTCGGGCTGTTCCGAGCCTAAACACAGGTCTTGTTCCTTTTTTTCGACGCTCGAGACTGGTACGGACGAGTCCTGTTGGGGATAGCGGGAATGACAGGCGAAACGCAATTCGCCAAATGCAGAACATCCGCAACAAGGCTCGACGATGAACGTCGTAAGGGTTGCGTAGGCGTTACTATTATAGTATTTAGAAAAAAAGAAACAGAAAATGCATTATATCATTAAAAAAATCACAAACTATGCACGTCCGATTAAAAAAATCGCTTAGCATTTTTCTCTCTTGTGATTTAGTGATAGTTAATGGGGAAAGATTTAACGATTGATATTTTTTGTTATTATAATACGAATTGTGTTTTTTCACCTACAACTTATTAGCAATATCCCATTACTCTTAGTGGGTTTGTTTATATGCGGCTCATCTTGATGTGTCTGACAGATGGATAGCGTGGTCATGCGTGTGTTGTCACGTGATCCTACATCCAAATCTTGTGTGTGTGCTTTCTTTGTTTTTAATTTTCATGTGCCCAGGTTAATTTCAATTTCGCCCGTGAATGTAGCTTGCAATTCGCCCAATCATCATACCACTCTACGCTTATTTTATAAACCGATTTTTTGCCTCGTTTTGTCATGGCAGAAAATTTTCTTGCCAGCGCCACACATTCGCAACCACCCATTTTCTTGCCAGCACCACATGCCCTCCTTTCTTCCGCTGTCAACTCGAATTCTCTGCTGACGGTTTCTTGAATTTAGTTTTCTACCCCCCTCTACCCCGCTCCCTCTACCAGTCGCTTTGCTGCTGTGCGCTTCCAATTCCCTTCCAATTCGAACTGCCTACTCGAATTCCTCCTGTACCTGTTCTCTCTCCCCTTTTTTCTACCAACCCACCGTCGCCCATCCCGCAACTACGCGTTTTACCACCACCTGTCGCCTCTCCCCCTACCCCCCCGCCCGCCCCGCCTCGCCATTCCCTCCCATCCCCCGCCCCGCCGCTCCTCTCACCCCGTCGTCCTCTCACTCCCACCCCGTTGTCGCCTCTTCCTCCTCGCTCCCCGCCATCGCCCACTACCTCCCACCCTGCCGTCGCCACTCGCTCTTATCCCGCCGCCGCCTCTTCTCCAATCCCGCCGCCGCCTCTTCTCCAATCCCGCCGCCGCCACCTCTCCTCCTATCCCGCAGTCGCCTCTCCTCGTCCCGCCGTCGCCTCTCCCTCCTCCCCGCCGTCGCCTCTCCCTCCTCCCCGCCGTCGCCTCTCCCTCCTCCCCCCGTCACCTCTCCGCCCTCCCCGCCGTCACCTCTCCCTCCTCCCCCCGCCCTCGCCTCTCCTCCTCCCCGCCGTCACCTCTCCTCCTCCCCGCCGTCGCCTCTCCCTCCTCCCCGCCGTCGCCTCTCCCTCCTCCCCGCCGTCGCCTCTCCCTCCTCCCCGCCATCGCCTCTCCCTCCTTCTGCCATCGCCTCTAGCGACAGGTGCACGAGCGCAAGCGTGAGTTGGTGCGCGAGGGCGGGTCGGTGCGCGAGCTCGGGTGGGTGCGCGAGCGCGGGTTGGTGCGCCAGCGCGGGTAGTTTTTCTGAGGCATTGTGATTATCAGGTGCGTTCTCGGTCCTTTAATCCTCCCGCCCCCTTCTGAAATTTCCCCCCCTTTTTTTTTTCTTTCTGCTCGCCTCGTAGGGACTGCGCAAGAGAGTGCACGAGAGTGAGCACGTGAGAGAGCGTGTGAGAGCCCGTGAGAGAGCGCGTGAGAGAGCGCGTGAGAGGGCGCGTGTTAAGAGCGCGTGGGAGAGCGCGTGAGAGAGCGTGTGAGTGATTGCATCAAAGAAGCGCGTCAAAGTGCGTGAGAGTGTGCGAGAGAGAGCGCGTGAGAGAGAATGCACAAGAGAGTGCGCGAGAGGGAGCGCGGGGGAATGCGTGAGAGCGTGTGAGGGAGCGCGTGAGAGTGCGCGTGAGAGAGCGCGTGAGAGAGCGCGTGAGAGAGCGCGTGAGAGCACGTGAGCGAGCGCGTGAGAGTGCGCGTGAGAGTGCGCGTGAGAGTGCGCGTGAGAGTGCGCGTGAGAGTGCGCGTGAGAGAGCACGAGCGCATGAGAGAGCGCGTGAGAGAGCGCGTGAGAGAGCGCGTGAGAGAGTGCGTGAGAGAGTGCGTCAGAGAGCGCGTGAGAGAGCGCGTGGAGATTGCATCAAAGAAGCGCGTGAGAGTGTACGAAAGAGAGCGCGTGAGAGAGAATGCACAGAGAGTGCGCGAGAGGGAGCGCGGGGGAATGCGTGAGAGCCCGTGAGAGATTGCATGAGAGAGCGTATGAAGAGCGCGTGAGAGAGCGCGTGGAGCGAGCGCGTGAGAGAGCGCGTGAGAGAGCGCGTGAGAGAGCGCGTGAGAGAGCGCGTGAGAGAGCGCGTGAGAGTGCGCGTGAGAGTGCGTGTCAGAGTGTGTGTGAGAGTGCGCGTGAGAGTGCGCGTGAGAGAGCGCGTGAGAGAGCGCGTGAGAGAGCGCGTGAGAGCGCGTGAGCGAGCGCGTGAGAGTGTGCGTGAGTGCGCGTCAGAGTGCGTGTGAGAGTGCGCGTGAGAGAGCACGAGCGCGCGAGAGAGCGCATGAGAGAGCGCGTGAGAGAGTGCGTGAGAGAGTGCGTCAGAGAGCGCGTGAGAGAGTGCGTGAGAGAGCGCGTGAGCGCGTGAGAGCGCGTGAGCGAGCGTGTGAGAGTGCGCGTGAGAGTGCGCGTGAGAGTGCGCGTCAGAGTGCGTGTGAGAGTGCGCGTGAGAGAGCACGAGCGCGCGAGAGAGCGCATGAGAGAGCGCATGAGAGAGTGCGTGAGAGAGTGCGTCAGAGAGCGCGTGAGAGAGCGCGTGAGAGAGCGCGTGAGAGAGCGCGTGAGAGAGCGCGTGAGAGAGCGCGTGAGAGTGCGCGTGAGAGTGCGCGTGAGAGTGCGCGTGAGAGAGCACGAGCGCGTGAGAGAGCGCGTGAGAGAGCGCGTGAGAGAGCGCGTGAGAGAGCGCGTGAGAGAGCGCGTGAGAGCGCGTGAGGAGCGCGTGAGAGAGCGTGTGAGAGAGTGCATGAGAGAGTGTGTCAGAGAGCGCATGAGGGAGCGCGTGAGAGATTGCATCAAAGAAGCGCGTGAGAGTGTGCGAGAGAGAGCGCGTGAGAGAGAATGCACAGAGTGCGCGAGAGGGAGCGCGGGGGAATGCGTGAGAGCCCGTGAGAGATTGCATGAGAGAGCGCGTGAGAGAGCGCGTGAGAGTGCGCGTGTTAGAGCGCGTGAGGTAGCGCGTGAGAGACGCGTGAGGAGCACGTGAGCGAGCGCGTGAGAGTGCGCGTGAGAGTGCGCGTGAGAGTGCGTGTGAGAGAGCACGAGCGCGTGAGAGAGCGGGTGGGAGAGCACGTGAGAGAGCGCGTGAGAGTGTGCGTCAGAGAGCGCGTGAGAGTGCGCATGCGAGAGTGGTGAGGGAGCGGGTGAGAGAGCACGTGAGAGAGCGCGTGAGAGCACATGAGAGAGCGCGTGAGAGAGCGCGTGAGAGTGCGCGTGAGAGAGCGCGTCAGAGAGCACGTGGGAGAGCGCGTGAGAGAGCGCGTGAGAGTGCGCGTGAGAGTGCGCGTGAGAGTTGCGTGAGAGAGCGCGCGCGCGTGAGAGAGCGCGTGAGAGAGCGCGTGAGAGAGCGCGTGAGAGTGCGCATGCGAGTGCGCATGCGAGAGCGTGTAAAAGAGCGGGTGAGAGAGCACGTGAGAGAGAGCGTGAGAGCACATGAGAGAGCCCGTGAGAGAGCGCGTGAGAGTGTGCGTGAGAGAGTGCGTGCGTGAGAGAGCGCGTGAGAAAGCACGTGTGAGAGCACGTGAGAGTGCGTGAGAGTGTGCGAGAGAGTGTGCGTCAGAGAGCGCATGAGAGAGAATGCACAAGAGAGTGCACGAGAGGGAGCGCGGGGGAATGCGTGAGAGCCCGTGAGAGATTGCATGAGAGATTGCATGAGAGAGCGTGTGAGAGAGCGTGTGAGAGAGCGCGTGAGAGTGCACGTGAGAGAGCGTGTGAGGGAGCGCATGAGAGAGAGCGTGAGAGCACGTGAGAGAGCGTGAGAGAGTGCGTGAGAGAGCGTGTGAGAGCACATGAGAGCACATGAGAGAGCGCGTGAGAGAGCGCGTGAGAGTGCGCGTGAGAGAGCGCGTGAGAGAGCGCGTGAGAGAGCACGTGGGAGAGCGCGTGAGAGAGCGCGTGAGAGTGCGCGTGAGAGTGCGCGTGAGAGTGCGCGTGAGAGTGCGCGTGAGAGAGCGCGAGCGTGTGAGAGAGCGCGTGAGAGAGCGCGTCAGAGAGCGCGTGAGGGAGCGCATGCGAGTGCGTGTAAGAGCGGGTGAGAGAGCACGTGAGAGAGAGCGTGAGGAAGCGCGTGAGAGTGTGCGTGAGAGATCGCGTGCGTGAGAGAGCGCGTGAGGGAGCACATGTGAGAGCACGTGAGAGAACGCGTGAGAGAGCGTCTGAGAGAGCGCGTGAGAGAGCGCGTGAGAGAGCGCGTGAGAGAGCGCGTGAGCGTGCGCGTGAGCGTGCGCGTGAGAGTTGCGTGAGAGAGCGCGCGCGCGTGAGAGAGCGCGTGAGAGAGCGCGTGAGAGAGCGCGTGAGAGTGCGCATGCGAGTGCGCATGCGAGAGCGTGTAAAAGAGCGGGTGAGAGAGCACGTGAGAGAGAGCGTGAGAGCACATGAGAGAGCCCGTGAGAGAACGCGTGAGAGTGTGCGTGAGAGAGTGCGTGCGTGAGAGAGCGCGTGAGAAAGCACGTGTGAGAGCACGTGAGAGTGCGTGAGAGTGTGCGAGAGAGTGTGCGTCAGAGAGCGCATGAGAGAGAATGCACAAGAGAGTGCACGAGAGGGAGCGCGGGGGAATGCGTGAGAGCCCGTGAGAGATTGCATGAGAGATTGCATGAGAGAGCGTGTGAGAGAGCGTGTGAGAGAGCGCATGAGAGTGCACGTGAGAGGAGGGAGCGCATGAGAGAGAGCGTGAGAGCACGTGAGAGAGCGCGTGAGAGAGCGCGTGAGAGAGCGTGTGAGAGCACATGAGAGTACATGAGAGAGCGCGTGAGAGAGCGCGTGAGAGTGCGCGTGAGAGAGCGCGTGAGAGAGCGCGTGAGAGAGCACGTGGGAGAGCGCGTGAGAGAGCGCGTGAGAGTGCGCGTGAGAGTGCGCGTGAGAGTGCGCGTGAGAGTGCGCGTGAGAGAGCGCGAGCGAGAGAGCGCGAGCGTGTGAGAGAGCGCGTCACAGAGCGCGTGAGGGAGCGCATGCGAGTGCATGTAAGAGCGGGTGAGAGAGCACGTGAGAGAGCACGTGAGAGAGAGCGTGAGGGAGCGCGTGAGAGTGTGCGTGAGAGATCGCGTGCGTGAGAGAGCGCGTGAGGGAGCACGTGTGAGAGCACGTGAGAGAACGCGTGAGAGAGCGTCTGAGAGAGCGCGTGAGAGAGCGCGTGAGAGAGCGCGTGAGAGAGCGTGTGAGAGATTGCATCAAAGAAGCGCGTGAGAGTGCATGAGAGTGTGTGAGAGAGAGCGCATGAGAGAGAATGCACATTAGAGTGCGCGAGAGGGAGCGCGAGGGAATGCGTGTGAGTGAGAGATTGTGTGAGAGAGCGTGTGAGAGAGTGCGTGAGTGCGCGTGAGAGAGCGCGTGAGAGGGCGCATGAGAGTGCGAGCGAGAGAGCCTGTGAAAGAGCGTGCGAGAGAGCACGTGAGAGAGAGAATGCGCGTGAGAGTGCGCGAGAGGTTGCGCGAGAGAGAGCGTGTGAGGGAGCGCGTGAGAGTGCGCTTGAGAGAGCGCGTGAGAGAGCGTGTTCGAGAGTGCGTCAGAGAGTGCAGTAGAGAACGCGTGAGAGAGCACGTGAGAGAGAGCGTGAGAGCACGTGAGAGAGCCTGTGAGGGAGCGCGTGAGAGTGTGTTTGAGAGATCGCGTGCATGAGAGAGCGCGTGAGAGAGCACGTGTGAGAGCGCGTGAGGGAGCGCGTGAGAGAGCGCGTGAGTGAGCGAGTGAGAGCGCGTGAGTGTGCGCATGAGAGAGCACGTCAGAGAGTGTCAGAGAGCGCGTGAGAGTCACGAGAGAGCGCGTGAGAGGCGTGTGAGGGAGCGCATGAGAGAGCGCGTGAGAGAGCGTGAGAGGGAGCGTGTGTGGGTTGACTACTCTGTTTTTGCTTGTGCAGGGCGTGTGTTGGCTTCTCTGTTTTTGGTTTGTGCAGGGCGCGTGTGTGCTAACTTCTCTGTTTTTGCTTTGTGCAGGGCATGTGTGTGTTGACTTCTCTGATTTTGCTTTGTGCAGGGCGTGTGTGTGTTGACTTCTCTGATTTTGCTTTGTGCAGGGCGTATGTGTGTTGACTTCCCTGGTTTTGCTTTGTGCAGGGCGTGTATGTGTTGACTTCCCGGATTTTGCTTTTTGCAGGGCGTGTGTTTGTTGACTTCCCTAACTTGGCTTTGTGCAGGGCGTATGGGTGTTGACTTCCCTGATTTCGCTTTGTGCAGGGCGCATCTGCTGAGAAGGGAGATGAGGGAGGGAGTGGGAGGGGGATGAGGGAAGGAGGGAGGGAGGGTTGTAGGGAGGGGAAGGTGGGATAGGCCAGCAATGATATCTGCATTTCTGAATTTTATTCATGACGGTTGCGTTTCTATTACGGTCTTTGTATCTATCTGTGCTTGTTTATGCGTGTGTGAATGTGCGCATGTGAGCCAATGTGAGATATGTGTGTTTGTCTGTTTACACCTGTCTGTCTCGAGGCATGTTGTGTGATGTTAAAGTGTGTCGGGTCTGCATTTGAGGTGGGGATCGTTGTTGGGGCAGCGTTGCTCGCCTTAGCATACCGGAACCACCTTTGCTGTGGCACTGATGCATTTTAGCATTCACTCACGGTTGTTTGTGTTGTTTATGCACGCGTTATACAACTGAGGTGTGATGTTAGAATGTGTCGGGTCTGCATTTGAGGTGGGGATCGTTGTTGGGGCAGCGCTGCTCGCCTTAGCATACTGGAACCATCTCTGTTGTAACATTGATGCATTTTAGCATTCACTCTCAGTTATGTGTTGTTTTTTCACGTGTTCAATGGATGCATTGCACATGATTTGCGTTCACATCCAGTGGGTGTTTCTCGTCAATTGTGTTTCGTGACGACCAATTGTTCCATTCGCCGTATTTATCGACGATTATGGAATGAAAGGTTACATTTGGTTTCATTTTTGGGGGACTTTTGTGTCAGAGCTTTCGTCATGTCCACAACTTTGAAGCATTCGTTTTGAAAACGTTAAACGAGGGTTTTAAACGTTGAGAAAAGAACAAAAACTGCACTGTTCATTTGAGTCGACCTAAAAGTGCTACCAAATGTAAAGGATTGCTATGCAACCCAAAAATCCTCGCAAGCTCCCCTACAGGTTCGCCAACACCCCGCCCCAAACCAAAGGCGGTGATTCCCCGCGACCAGGATCAGGGGAGCGAGCGGATTGTGCTGGTGCTGGGTGCGGCGGAAGGCTTGATGGGGGAAACACACCCCAACCATTCCCCTGCCGAATCTTCCCGAAATTCTCATGCGCCAGCGCTACTCCCTTGCCTTTGCTACTCTTCTCATCACCTTGTGAAGATAACTCTATCAACGGGAGCTAGACTACGGGCTAGGCACGGGGTAGGAGTGATCTCTGCGTTCGTTCGTTCCTTAGTCGTTTCCAAGTGCTCACACTACTTGCTAGTTCACAGGGAGAATTGGCAAGAGTTTCACTAAGAAAGGTTGACAACAATGGTACAATGAAGTTGGGAAGGTTAGACTACATCAGAGCTAGCATGCAAGCAAGTCTACTGCCAGCGCAGCACGGTCGACCGCGTGCCAGCACGACTTGGTCGACCGCGCTCCAACAGTGCAGAGTGCCGGCTTGCCAATGCTGCAAGTCGACGGCGTGCCAACGTCGCAGGTTGACGGCGTGCCAACGTTGCTCCCGCAGGACAGCAGTGCACCCGCTTCGCAGGTGCTCGCAGATGATTGGCGTGCAGTGCCTCGTCACCTGCACAGCGCACACACCAAGTCAACCTGGCGCTGACAACTGCATCTGATCAGCCACGTCGACCTCGGGATACCACCACCAAGGTCGGTCTCGCCAAAACCACCTGGGCGACCGTCGCACTCTTCCGCAGAACCTCGTCACCCAGGTAACCTGGTCGACCGGGCAACCATGTCGACCAGCTGCTCCTGTATGTGCCCGTCGACCTCCCAAGTCGACGGCCACCTCCAGTCGACCTCACCAGGTCGACCACTACCCCTGGTCGACCAGCTCCAGGTCGACGTCACTCCTGGTCGACCAGCTCCTCGTCGACCAGCACAGTTGTCAGCCGACCACCCAAGTCGGCTACCCGAAGTCGGCGTCACCAAGTTGACGCCCTGCTACTCGACGCCCAGCTGCTCGGCGTCCTGAATCCCTCTGTCGAGGTCGACGTCGGCCCCTCCTTCGTCGACCTTATATTCAGTCGACCACCAGGTCGACATCACGCCTGGTCGACCAACCACCATGTCGACACGCAGGCCTGGTCGACCAACCACCAGGTCGACCAGCAGTCCTGTCAGCCGACCACCCAAGTCGGCTGCCCCAAGTTGGCGTCACCAAGTCGACGCCCTCCGCAGGTCGACTTCCCAGGTCGACCTCCCTGAAGTCGGCGCCATCCTGAAGTCGGCGCCCATGCAGTGGCACCCGTGCAGGTCGACCTCCTCGTCAACCAGCTCGCCCACTGCTGCAGGTCGGCTGCACCCCTACACCCGACCACGAAGTCGGCTCCGCCCAAGCGAGGACGGGGCCAACACACAACTCCCGTTGACACTCCCCTGCCGTGTTCACGCTTGGGCCCCCAGCCCACACGGCAGTACTTCTCGGAGAAAAGCTCATCGACGTGCACCCAACACATAGTGCTCGGTGGTCGGGATGTATCTCAACGCAAACTTCCCGCGCTTCACCATATGCTGCAGCCAGGCCTGTCGCCGCTCCATGTGCTTGAGGTTGCCCGTCAACCCCATGCCCTCGGCGACTGTGATGGCCGACTTGTTGTCCACCCGGAGGACAGTCGGCTTCCCGGCATCCAGCTGCCGGAATTCTGCAAGAAGGAAGCGAAGACGGCGTCCCTCCTTGCCGGCTTCGACGGCCGCCACGTACTCCGACTCGGTCGACGACAGCGTCGCACACTTGATGCGCTGGCTCGACCAGGAGACCGCGGCCCCTCCATAGACGAACACGTAGCCGCCCGTGCTCGTCCGGTTCTGCTTGTCGCCGGCGTCGTCGGCGTCCACGTAGCCGACCAGCTCCAGCGACTCAGGTCCACCGCCGAACTCCAGGGCGGTATCGCGCGTGTTGGCAAGGTAGGCGAGGCAGCGGTCGACCTCACGCCAGTGCTGGTCGCTCCTCACCGTGAGGCCGCTCCCCAGCTTGCTGCAGGCGAAGGCAATGTCCGGCCTCGTCGTCGTCGCCGCGAACTACAGCGAGCCGACCTTCTGCCGGTACTCCTCCTCCTGGCGCTCCTGAGCCTCCTCGTCGTCGAAGGTAAGCTCGGCGTAGGCGTCGACCGAAACCGGCGTCTTCGGGGTGCGCCCGGTCTGCTCCTGGTCGAGGAAGCGCCTACGCAGCTTGTCGGCGTAGCCCTGCTGATGCAGCCACAGCTTCCCCGCCGACCTGTCGCGCACGATCTCCAGCCCAAGGTACTTCTGCACCGGCGAGATCTCCCGCAGCTCGAAGGCGACCTCCAGCAGCTCCTTCAGCTCCTTCAGCATCTCGGTACTGCTGCTGGCGGCGAGCAGGTCGTCGATGTAGACCAGCACCCAGCAGGTCACCTTGTCGTCACCGACCTTGAAGTACAGAGCCTCGTCGACTTGGCTCTTCTTCCACCCGGCGCCGACCAACACGTCGTTGAGAGCCTTGTACCACAGCAGCGGCGACTGCTTCAGCCTGTAGAGGCTCTTCAGCAGCTTGCACACCCGGCCGGTCCCATCGTTGAAGTAGTCCGGCTGGTACATGTACAACACCCGGTCGAGCTTGCTTTGCAGGAAGGCGTTCTTCATGTCGAGCTGCATCAGGTGCAGGTCGAGGACAGCGACGATGCTGAGGAAGATCCTCAGCGTGACGTAGCTGCTCACCAGCGCGTACGTCTCGTCGTAGTCGGCGCCATACACCTGCGTGAAGCCCTTCACGACCAACCTCGCCTTCTCGCGCTCGACGGTGTCGTCGATGCGGTACTTCGTCGTCAGCACCCACCGGTTCTTCATGATGTTCACTCCCGGCGGGCGTTCGACCAGCTCCCACGTCCCCATGCCGATGAGGCTGCGGATCTCCTCCTCCATGGCGGCCTTCACCGCCGGGCCCTTCCAGCTCGCCAGCGCCTCCTTCACCGTCATCGTTGAGATGTCCCAGCGGTGCTCGGGGTCGGCGTGCATGTCGGGGTCGAGGTCCGGCAGGTCTTCGTCCTCCTCGGCGTTGTTGTACAACAGGTCGTCGTCCGACCACGTCATACACCGTGGTGAAGGCAGCCGGGACGAAGAAGTCGGGAGGCCTTCGATGTCGGCCTGTACGCCGTGGTCCAGCCTGGACCTCCACCACGTCACTGTCGGTGGACTTTTCGGCGCCCGATTGCTCTCCTCCATCGGCACCGGCCTCGCTGCCCTCGTCATCCTGCTGCAGCTCGGTCGGCGTCCTAGCTGACGTCTCCCCTATGGTCTGCTTGGTTGCCAATTGCTCCGTGGTCGGCTTCACTGCTGCTCGTCACGTCGGCCACCGGCGATGCTCTTGGCCGGCGCCGAAGGCGACGTCCCTCGACTCCCCTCATCACCGGAGGCCGACACCGGAGTAAGCCCGCGCAGGTCGGCCACGAGGGGAGGGGCAGGGGTAGGAGGATGGACAACCTCGGCGTCCTCAGCAGCAAGCTCACCGACCTCGGCGAGCAGAGGCAGCA